CCAGAATAGTGCTGTCCGTTTAGTTTCGACGGCTCGAGAAAAACCAAGCTGTTTTGTGTACATTAGTAATTCGTTGTGGATAGAATATTTTATTATTAACTACCGTGTGCGCAGCCGTGGCGGAAAATCATTGACGGGCGTTTCTTTCACCCTCCGGGACGGGTCCACGGCTCAGACTCCACCCTGGGAAAATGTCGTCCGCCAAAGGGAAACTCTCGTAGGGCCTGGAGTTTATGTTGCCGGGTAAATGACATTTGTGTCGTCATCGTGTTAATTGTGAACCGAAGGACAATAGAACAACGCCAGGGTTATGGTGAACGGAAATTACCACACCACACTCGATTATCGTCGTTATTATGTGCGTATTATACAAGAAGGGCAAACGCAGTAGTAGTTTTTTTTTCTGTAATTTATCCTCAACCTACAGTGTGTTTACATTATCGACGGTTTACGATCTTTGACCTGTTTTGTGAACGTTAAAAGAAAAAAAAATCGGTTTTGCATTTCCTCGTCGACAACGTCGCCGTCGTCAGAATTTCATTAAGTGCCCAAATGTCACAGGTGGTTCCTAAAATGTCACGCCGCGTGCCAGGTTTTGTTGTAGTTTTGTGAGTTTTGTTTTTGTGTATTTGTAATTTTCAAACTTCTCTCGGCGACTGACTATGACCATTTACCATAATATCGTATTTATAGAAGACTATAATTGCAACCAAGTAGCGTCCTGCGTCTATTATTATGACTCGGTTGGGGGCGGAGAAAGTTAATCGGAACGTCGCCATTGTATTTATAGCAAAAATACTCAACGTTTTCTTATTGTCTTTTTCTCGATGTTTGTTAATTCGAATTTTCTTTTACTTTTTAGTTTTTACTCTAAGTTTTTATCCATACTTCTGTACTTAAACAACATTTCGACAGTTCAGCCTGAAAGCCAGTAGGTTGTATACTTATATCAATGTGGGTAAACACTAGTACGAACAGTTGGAATAAATAATTTTACATCGACATATTTATATTAGTAGGTGGATAGTTACTATGTACACGTGACAATTGACAACTAAAAAAATACTAGTGTTCAGCAGTCTATACGAATGAAAAGTATTCCAAGCTTGTCGCTTTTAAGAGGACGTCAGCCCCCCTACTTATTAAGGATAACGATTACAGCAATTTTTTTGCAAAATCTTAATTTAATGTTTAAACTATAACGTATAATTATTAGTACAGTAATTAGGACTTGTTATTGGTAATTGTCTATTTTGCCTGACATTGCATTCTTGACGATTTTAAATATGTTTGCATCTAAACATAGCTACGCAGAATGCGTTTTACTCGGTCCATGGTGGTTTTAGAGAAAAAACACCTATTATAAATATTGAATATGTCCTAAAAAAAGTAAGAAATACCCTTTTCAACATCAAATACTTTGCGAAATACTTTACATATTAAAGTACGGATTAGACATTTCCTATAATTTTGTTTCGATTTCATATTAGGTACTCTTGCTTTAAAATTAGTCATATTACTTTCCTCTTTCTAATTGTAGAAGAGAAAACTACCTAAGATCATATCCCTATTTGAAAATATCAAATTCATTAAGACGTGTGTACAATTATAGGGGTCGAAATCAGGGTCATCAGCATTCATCCATCACTAAAGTAATCGGGTACATCAAACGGCTGACAAAGTGCTTTAGCCAGGGACAGAGACGTCTACACGGAAATATTGAAGGCAATTTAGTTATGCTCAATTTACAAATGTAATAATATTTTATGACCGTAGACTAATTTTATGGGTCTCGTAAGAGACTTTTTGTATTTTACTGCTACGAATAACAACAATTAACTCGCTCTAACCTGCTTAACATAATATAACTGTATATTCTGTTATTATATCAGCTGATTAAATCGGTGCTCGTCCGAATTTTACAAAAAAAATTATAGTTGGCTGCGTTTTACAAAATTAATAAATAATAGTAGCACCTTTTGAATTTACACTATGTTAATATATTATGTTCGTCTATAGTACGTATCATGCAGATTGTGAATGTTTAAAAAAAAATAGGGTGAAAATGTATTTGCTTGCTGTGTATCTACGTATGTAGATAGTATGTCACATAATATGAATGGAGTTCTTACATAACGCGTCTGCTTCGACCCCACCTCATGAGAACATTATTAAAACACATTTTGTACAGTATCGAAGATACATTCAGACATATGCACCGGACAAGGCTGAGTGGAATGAGCCCTTAGTTTCATTTTACAGTCTTCCGTTACTTGGCAATTGAACGACCCACGCCAACATGTAGTATAAATTGAGGCAGCGTTTGTCCTGGGACAGCAGCTGTTAACGAGTAACCACCACGTCGCCTGCTGCCTAATGTAATCACTAATCACAAAATAATAAATAATAACTGTTTCGTGGGAACATCCGTTACTTTAAATATGGTATTGACGTCGACAAATTATACATATATATATTTTTAAATTTATATTTGTATATTTTATAACAAAAATTCAATTCGATAATTGCTCTTCCTATAACCAGGAACGGTTTAAAATAATATGGTATAATCAGTTTATTTATCAGTTGTTTTTCTTTAACCGCCATTCCGTCACCAACTATTATAGACGCTAGGAGTTTATATTGGTTGAAACATATTTTAATTTTTATCAGTAAAAAAAAAATGATGATCCATTAAAAATAAAGCGTACAAATACGTTAAATACGTTAAAAGAGAACTCGTGTACGCACGAAAAGCGTCTAGTTCAATGGTACTAAATTGTACGATGCTTGTTTATGATTCGTCAATTGTGTACTAATATTACATTATTAGTGTTATAATTTAATAATGTAAACGTATATCAAATAGTTTCCCATTTCAATCAGTCGCTCATCAACACGTTTTGCCCTTCCTGCAAAGTATTAAACATTGTCATAATAAAAAAACTATATTTTACAAACATTTGTTCTATCAAATTGTATAACCTGTAATTATAATACTTAAAAAGAGGTTTTCCCCAATCGAATTAAAGTTTGACACGGTATTATTTTTTTTGTTAAGCTCTTGTTATAATAATTAAACATTTGTTTTCTTCTAAAAAATAACCTTTTAAATGAATCTCTGCCACATATAGTAATGATTAATGAAGTATCATATTAAATTTGAATTGACGCATCTGAGAGATGCTATAGCAGTTTAGATAACGCTAGAAACACAAGTATGCAAAACGATAAGGACGCGCCTTATTACAAATCAAATTGAACTAGTTAATATTATACGTGATAATTTTAACGTATGTTATAAAACATCTACAGGGTGATTTAATACACAAATTCTATATTTGTATACAGTATAATTGAACTAATAAATGAACTTAAAACAATTGAAATACACTATCATACCTACTGTTCATGTAAAAGTTTACATTTAGATATTATAACAAGACCAATATAATAAAAACGTTTAGATGAACGTTATGACATAACATAATTAATCAATGAGAAATTTTTTGCAGATTTTAATTTAAAGGTTAAACTGTGGTATGTAATTATTATTTCGATAATAATTCAATGACTAGGTAGTTAATTTATTTCTCGGACTATCACAGCATCCTTGACAGCGATTTAAGAAAAAATTAACATCTAAATATAACTAAGCAGAATGCGTCCTACTTGGTCTATAGTGAGTTTAGAGCAAAAATACCTATTATAAAATCGAAAGATAACAATATTTCGGAGACAATGTCATATCCGATTTTAAAAGTAATAACGTAAAAAATAGTTATAGTTAATTAAACATTCTTTTTTTTAAATGTTAAATATTAGGTTTATAAAAAAAGGGTTGTGAAATTGTATTCAAAATGGATAAATCCAGGCATCTTTCGTTTTTGTTACAAGTGTTTTTGCTCTAAAATCATCACAGGGCGAGTAAAACGCAATCTGAGTAGGATGTTTAAACGCTAGAAAAAATGGGTGTAGGTAAACGTCCTCTAAACAGTCATAACTCATATATAATATTAAAACTATTAATTTAAATTATTTGTTTTTAGTTATACAACCGTAATTAAAACAAAGATAAGCTTTTTCACTTTATAATTTATTATAATTTTTACGAGGCTAAATTTCGCACACAGACATTAAAACATTATTTTGCACGCGAGTAAAAAATGTATTTGAAAAAAAAGAGGTATGGCGTTTTTTTATAATAAACGTAATTTAACTAGGTTTAATACGTTTTATGATTTGTATTATTTAAATCCCCAAGTCTGACGGAATAGAACGTATACTTCCTAAACGAACGGCTTATCGCCGTTTTATTTTTCAGAGTACCTACAACTTGTTAATGTCGCCAAATGTTATTAATTTATTCGTTTCGAGCGGCTTGGTTTGCGTGTGCTCGACCATTTTATATTATGTATACTATAGCGCATGGAGTTAAAATTTATATAAATTAAAGTAAAATAATTTTAAAAATCTCCCCAAAAACGTACCGAACGTCGAATATCGGTCGACTGCAGAACGGCCATAGGCAAGGGTTTTAACAATATTCGAGTTACGACTTTTTCGACAATTACTTTGGAACCGTGTCCCCGTCCAAACCCACATTATAGTAAATAATAATAATAATAATAATATGAGTAAGTTATTGACGATGAGTCGGATATTATGATAGTGTCAACTGAAGAGTGTGGTTTATACACATCACACCAAGTGGGTATACTCGTTGATACACATAACTATTTATTCTATAGTGTGGTTGAGCACGTGTTATCTCGGGATCCGGCGTTCCAACGATAAGATTAGGGGGACCGCACGAACGCGGTCGTAACCGCATTCCCAGACGCCTATAATAGTATTATACCGAAAATGCGATGAATATAATATGTTATATAAAAAATCAAAAAAAATCACAAAAATATTAATATAATAATTAATGTTAATAATAATAAGAACGTAAACGACGGTGGCGGGGAGCAGAAACTGAAACTTATTGTGCGACGGCGTCACAAACACCGAACGACCGCGTCGTTGGCACTGCAAAGGCTCCTTTGACGCGACGACCACGCCTTTTTCAGCAGTTTGCGTCTGTCAACCGCTCGTTCACGTTTCGGTTTTCCATGTCAAACGCACATACTAGGTATAACGTAAAGTACAATACAGCGTTATAATAATATATTGTACTTTGTTATTTTTTTTTTTATCGACGTGTGCGCGTTCACGTTGGAAACGCTGAAAAATTACTTATCAAACCCAACACGGATGTTGCATAGTATGTATTATATATTACCTACACCGAGTGCCCATTTTATTATTACATTACACGAGTACGTTGTAACTTATTACATTTGGACGCCTGTTTGATTTTCGTAGTCGATTTATCTGTTACTCGATTGAAACGGTAATAATAATATTGTAGGTAATCAACCTCTCGCATCTTATTATAACAATACTATGATCTGTGCGTATCTCGTATACATAGTTTGTTTGCTCCGCGGGTTTTTCGGCGTACGCCGTTTATCGGTTTATTAAAAAAAAAAAATATGTATTTATATATATATATAAAAAATCGTTCCGTTTTAGATTTTGGTTAGACATGTGCACGCGATTTTTTGTTGTACCGATATCTGCGGTGCGCTACTTGACGGTGTACGGTTTCTCGTTGCGTGAATTTGTTACCGAAAGGTCAAAGGATATCGACAAACGGCGGCTACAACGCTAATGAGCCAACAGAGATCCAAGTTCGATTTTTTCGCTCGACACGTAGTCATGTCGTAATGATATAACTGCGAGTCGTCCGAAAACTCGGATAGTGTTCTGTATGTAAATCATCGTTTTAAACAACGTCTGGCGGCGGCTTCAGCACATTTTTGCCGGGCGTTCTTCTGTCGAAACGGTAAATGCACAAAAACAAATTTAAGTCAATTTTAAATATGTATGTTTTATAATAAATTTAATTATAGCGTAATTTATGCTTTTATTAGTTGTATAAGTTTTGACATTAACCATATAATGATTTCTACGAAATTCACCTGTCTGCTGGTTTTTCGAAATCGGAAGATCCGTTTGAGCTGATACATTTGGATTTTTATCTTTACAGGCCACGATCGCCTTCTCGGAATTATGTTTTTATCTATGACAATCGCGTGTACATATTATGTTAAAAAAAAAAAACTGTATTCATTTTAACAGCTGTTAACACACGTGTATTTAGCCCATTAGAGACGCCAAGGGTGGGCAATAGCCCTCCGTAAAATCGTCAGGTCCCCGCTTTGGCCCACCCCGACTTCTCTAACCTCTCAAATAAATACCTGTACCACCTGTATAAATAATAACATATGATATTATATTATCATTATTTATATTTATAAACTTCATATCCATTTTTTGTTAAAAAATAAATAAATATACTTATAAGTATAATATAGATCAGGTCTTATTTATAAATAGAGAAAGATAGACAGTTATTTAAGTATTGCACTAAACCACAATTATACCTGTGAATATAACCTAAAAAATATTATAGTTTATAATAATTATTATTTCATTTATGATTTTTTACTTTTATTTATTTTATACTTAAGTATGTTTTTTGTGTTATTAACACTGATATTTTTATTTATTCGTATGGCAATATATAAAAAAATCCCAAAACACTGAGATAACGGGCCCATAATTGTTTGGGAGAGAGTGAAGTTTCCCCTCGGCTTATTTTTAAGAATAACTAATTTTGGTTCGCCCCAAAATTTGTACTACCGTTCAAATACCGTATTTGTCTACCTCTAGGATAAATGTTTGATGCCGTGACATCTATAATGTTTTTAAATAACATGTCGTGCTTGTTCTCTTATACCAATATAGTATGATTAATTTTTTTAAATGTAGTAAGTGTCCATTTAAACCATTCGACGTTTTTTATAATTAAATGGTAACTAATTGCATACATAAATACATTGTTTTTTAACTTCTGTTGTTTTTAAAAATTATTACATTTGTGGCACTTATTATGTATTAACCATTATTGACTGAGTTATGAGTATCCTAACCTCACTATGTTAATTAACTTTATCAATAACACGCGGTTTCCGCAACGATTGCTTACGTTTTTAAATCAGCTAATAAGGCTGTTCTTTACCGCCGCGCCGTTAAAATATATACCGCTTTAAATACAATTACTTTTTGCTCATTATCTTTTGTTATTTTTTTATGAAAAACACGGTTATTATAGTAAATCGATAAATTTATTATATTTCGATTCTAATATTTCCAGTATTTTTTTTTTTAATTTTAAATCAATAGACAACTATAAAACATGGTTGTTAAATTTATTTATTGTCGACTCGATGGGGAACAAATGTATTCGTGTTTAATAACAATTTGATGATATACGATCATTGGTATTCAAATTCTAAAACCAATAAATCACTATAATGTAATAACCTCATAATAATTTCAGTGGTTATCAAAATCCCAATCGATTATACTGTTTAATAATTACAACTTGATGTGTCACTAAACTACCTACTACTGTACAATACTGTTGCACAGTAAAAACACAATTATATATTCTAATAATTGTTCTACTTTGTATAAAATATTCATGAACATTTTGGACATTTTTGTGGATTATTCAGACAAGTATAACAATTATTCTTGTATCTTGTAGTATAATGTGTTATAGTTTTAAGATTATTCGATTTGTTTTCTATATATATATATATATATATATATACATAATATAGTTCAAGTATACATACTCGAACGTTGGATTTTTTTCAAGTTACACACGCTAAACATTTTGTAATAATTGGAAATTACGCAATTGAGTATAATATTATAATACATTTCGGTAAAGGCGGTTGAAACGTGGTGGTGTACATTTTTATCGAAAAATATATTATACACGCAATGTATATTCATCATCATGTCCACGATTTAACATTGATTCAGAGACGGTTGGAACCTCTTGCACTGTTGAAGTTTTATCAATACCAGATAAGACTGTTTGCCTCGACCGAAAAGGCTAAAGATCATGTTTGCGTTATCTCGGTACAGCTTAGGTCATCCGTTCGTGCATTAGCGCTCATCGACCTTTGCGCGCATCCGATATATTTATGTAAGTGCCGGTGTACACGGTGCGCCAGTTCGTCGTCGGACAGATTAACTGAATGATCTCCTCTCGGGCGTCGTCGGATTTTCACGCTGTTATTATTTGTTTACAATTTGTTAATTTTTTTTATTGCGTTTACACATAATCGTTGACCTTTGAATTGTTTTTTTATTCCACGATGTTTTCACACGCGCACACGAAACTATCCCTGAGCACCGTATACCCTTTTTAAACACAAAACATTATTGCTCGAGACGTCGATCGGTTCACAGCTGCTACTCGCACAGTTGTCCACCAGCGCCACTGCGACAACTCACACAAGTCAGGCGAGTGTTATACATACATAGTAATATTATTTTAATATCATCATTAACCGACATTGTCCTACGTGATTTTCTAGAACAAGTTTTCAATCATTTTTTATTTCCATTTAGTCGCTATAATTAAATCACATGCGGTTTGTCCGTTTGGCCCGGTATGATTTTTATCGAGTACATAATACAAATATTATAATTTTTAACTTACCATTTTATTTTACACTACTCAAGAATTAACGTACGAGAAATTATGAATACCATTTGTGACTATTATTTTTTTTTGTAATGTTATTATTTCTTATAGCTAATGATAAACTATTTTTAATTTCAAAAAACGAATCGTATTCTACTTTGTTGTGCTTTGGTAAGTTAAAATTGAAATGTATTACTTGTTGTTATAATCTCATTATACTTATAACTATAAAATATCTATTCAATTGTTGTACAGTTTTAGTATTTATATACATATAAGTGAGCAAAAACCGTTTTCAACGCTATTATATTCAAAGACGTGCACTCTTTTTATAAATGACATAAGTTTTAACGATGTATAATTAGTAACATTTAGTTTAGTATAATATATTAATTTATATCTATTAAATAATGTAGCAATGATTGTTATTATGTAGATAAGTAAATATCTCAAATTAAAATTATAAATTAATTAAAGCGTGCCTCGTCAATGTGTGCAGACTTCGACCACTGTGGATCTGTTAACGTCTTACTTTGGCAGGATTAGAGTGAATTTAAATGTCTAATACTGTCAGGTAATGATGTCCTCAGATACCCATTAATCGCCAACAATATTGTGTCAAGAATTTTCTATTCAACTACTCGGAGCTTGCACAATTCCAGACAAGTATTTAATGTTGCTAGAGCCATAACATTTTGTGGAAGGTCAGTAATTCTTACGTGAGTAAAGTAAATTAAGCATTTTAGTATTAAGCATTGTTTTCGAATTTAGCTGCCCAACAACTAATTATTTATTTAGCCAGCAAAACTAGTACACAATATCGCCGTTTTAAACAAAATATATATTTTTGTTTTCCCTTAAATTGTGTGCAGTCATTAGTAATTAATAGATTTAGTAACTATGCGTTTGCAAATTGCCAAATTATGAATTATATTAATATTATTTCTTCTTAGAAATATTTAATATAATTACAAAGTATTTTCCCTAGTAGTGGTTAGTGTATCCAAGTCTAATTTGCGTATTTAAAACAACCATGTTGTTATGAATATTTTAACTTACAGTCGGTTGTGTAAGAATAGAATCTTAATATTTTAAAATATATTTGAATAACTTTAAATGTGAAAATTTTAAAATGTTGTTAGGTCCAATTTTATTCGGTGCGTTAGTATAGTGTCTAGTGGTGTATAATATTACTTTTTTGTACGTTTTGCTTAGTAGGTTAAATTCAAGCAGTACCGACTACTGCGGCTGATGGAAACATGTGCGAGCCAGATATTATAATCTGTCATCGAAATATTTATGAATGGTTTCGGCCTACCTCCTGGACAGACGATCTCAACAAATCTTCAAACACGAGTAAATAATAAAATAATTCAAATTTATAGCGACTATACTCATAAAACGTATAACTGTTATAAGACGTCATTATGTATTCAAATAGAAAGCATGCTAATTTTATATTAATGGTTTTATTTCAATTTCAAATGTACTAAAATATATTTTAAAAAACTAATACTTAAAATGTTTATGTTTCGCTATTTTCTGTCATTTTAGGCCAGCTAGTTTCCTAAAATTTGATAATTAACTCTCGAAACTACAGCGTGGATCTGCAATAGATCAATTGACAATTGTTGTGGACTAACTGTGTGCATTAAGAACTGTGTATAAGACAGACTAAAAAAAAATTTTTTTGCTACCCCTAAATCTGTTTTATTTGTCAAAAGAAGAAATGTTTAAAATTTTAGCATTCTAGGACAACTTTCAGTAGTTCCTATAGAAACATATTTTCCCCGTTTGATTAACACATACAAAATACATTTTTCATTAAATTGTCATAACTTCAAAGTATAAATATTTTTTAACTTAAAAAAGTTTCTAAATAGCTAATATTTGTACCTTTTAAATATTTGTAGTTTTTTCCACGGTTCTTGAATAATTACAATGACTTAAGTTAATCAGTTTAACAATAAACAACGACCAAAATTGTATTTTTAAACCATTGTTTCTATGTATACAAATAACTAAGATCAATTGTATAGTTCAGCATTTTTAAGATGTCAGCTTTCAGAATCTATTTTAAATTTTAAAATTTTGAACTTATAACGGTTTAAATAAAAAATACATTTTTTACATGTTAATTAAATGGAGAAATATGGCTCTATAGGAACCACTTAGAGTTGTCCTAAAAGGCTAAAATTTTAAACATTTCTTCTTTTCGACAGATAAAAATGATTTTGCGGTCAGCAGGAATATATTTTTTACTATATGTAGATGGACAGTCTACTATATATATAGTATATCTTAAGAATGCACGACTATATTTTTTACTGTTGTAAATGTATTTTATCAATATAAATATTAAGTAGTAACCTAGTATTCTTCTAATTGTTTAATTTAGACAAGAGAGTCGTGTTGACATTCCAAAGTATTAACCATATTGAGTGTATTATAGTGCAGTATATTTTACCCTTTCTGATTCAAACTATTCAAACTATAACAAATAAATAACTATGCGAAGGTATCAAAAAATTCGGTGCAGTCGAAAGTGCACAGTTATATTTGAATTGCCTGAAATAACGTAACCCATAAGAGCACATATTATTTGTAAATTGGCATAGCCTAAAATAGCCCACTCCGTGGTTATCACCAAATTATTATCGGTTTATCATAACATTAGAATAAACTTTTACATAATAATCAAAGATTAACAAATTTCCAGGTAGTATTTTAGTTAACATTTCATAACACAGTCTTCATTCGCTGTACAGACAGTACAGTCGGTGTGTTAAAAAACGCATTACAATCGTACCTATAATTAAAATACTATAGTAAAAAAATAATAGTTTGGCAGTTAATAATTAAAACAACATAACATACGAAATGATTAATTTAAAAACCTTGGAAAATATGTCCAATTTTTTCCCAAAAAGTTAAAACATCTAGTTTTTTTATTGTTATATACTTCACAAAATGTATGTGATCTTGTCTTTTTATTTCGTTTGTGTATATTCTCTGTGGCGCTTTTTTTAAATTGTGTTGTACAATTCGTTAACTTTTCAATTGTGTTGAGAAGTGTATGGATCAAAATAGTTATTGTTATTACTTATTAGTAATAATAATAGATAGTTACTAGATTTAGCAATATAGTTAATACAATATTGATGACATAAGTACACTACGCTATCGATATTCATGTTTGTACATTTCAATTGTAGGCTGTATTTTCATGCTCTTTTGGGTTATACAAAAATAAAAAGTGTGCTCTCTCGGGTAACGCCCAAAAAATTAAAAACGAATCATATAAATGGAGGGGGTAATGTAGAGGAAAACTCCATAACACTTTCAATTTACAATTAAAAATATTTTAATAATAATAATAGTCAAATGTCATATACAGCATGTTATTTTGAAAGAATTGTAAACAAAAAATATATTTATTATTTATAATAAATAAAAATATATAACAATTACATATTATATATTTATGTATAATTGTTGTATTTTTGGGGAAATTAGTTTGAAAAATGCATGCCCATACATTAATATTTAAAAAAACAAACACAGTGTGAATGAAGTATATTCCGGAATCAAGTAGTAAACGACAAATTTTATCTGAAATCACTCTCATAAAAAAACGCTTCGATACGAATCTGTAGATGGTAATAATATTAAATATCGATAAAAATCATTGTAATGGCAATAATATTCTAAAACTTTTATTTTAGTAGTACCAGGGTGGTACGATTAAGGTTGATTGTCTTTCTATAGTACATTGTTGCCGTTATTATCCATGTATTGTAATCAATAATATAATACAAATATTTTTCAGCTACCTGTTGGTTCACTCACACATAGCAACCTGGAAATTTATACGACACAGTTGTGATTTTTCCCTATTTTTTTAGTTTTTCCTTAATATAAAAAAAAAATTAACTACGGATTTTTAGGAAATGTGGGCACCCTAACTAACTTACACCCTAACTTTGTTGTAAAATATAGGCAAACCCCTTAACTCGATACATTTCTGGCTCTGATACTCTTTACACGACATTGTTGTATTCAATAACCAGTATAATAATTGTTTTACCAATACTCACAATAGACAATTAGGTATAATAATTCTATGCTCTAAAATAAATATATACAGCAACAAACGATTATAAATTCATAGAAAGAAATTATTACATCTTAGAGATCTAATTTAATACAAATATTATTATTTCTATAAACTAATTTGATATGGGTGCCGACTGGAAGTGTATGTGTTTCTATTTTTGACTGTTTATAAATAACAAAAACGTATACTTTTTATTTCTACATTTAAATGTAAAATAAATATTAAATTAGACTACGTTACTCAAATAAACTATTACAATTATAATAACTATTATTCGGAATTCACTATTCAACAATAGGTTGTTTAAATTGTCGTAATAATACAACGGGAGGAGGTATATTGTTGATGAGTTAATTTCATGCAACCTATGTTAGAGATCATGTAACGTTTACGCATAGTAGATTGTATTAAAAGCTATTTTGTTGTTTTTTATAGGTACCTACAAATAATTATTTTCGAACGAGGAAGCTCGCCAAGAATGTGTTTTAACATTGCATATGCATTGGCCTATATAATAGAAAATAGTTCAAGCAAGTTCTTAAATTTTGTTTACATCGTGTCGTGTTTTTTGGTACCACTCGAGTCTTACAAATAAATGCCCTTCAAATTTTAATTCAAAGTAACAAAAGAGACTCTTGTTAATCGTCAAATCAACCAGCGGTTTTGTGGTTTGAATTGGTAGACAAAAAATGAATTCTAAGAAAGAAAAAAATACTCAATCTAAAATAATATGCATTGTCTATAACTTATAACGATGAGGACCACGCGCCGTAAACACATGCGTGAAAACAATAATAATGAACAAGCTGTCTAAATACATAAGAGCGAGGGTAGGGAACACTGCATACGGGCTACTGTTATTATATTGACTTTATTAAACGCACTCGTTCCTACTGGCTTCCGTTTAAATTACATTAATTTACGAGATATTTAAAAATATTATGCCTATAACGTCGCCTGTATATAAATATGCAGGGGTCCCAAAAGTTGAACAAAACGTTAATGATTCAATTACATTTACCGTGTATTAATTGGATTCCAACAATGAGCTTACATATTACTTATTTTAACATAGTTATAACTTTATTTTTAAAGTTTTCAGTTTCCACATGTTTTTAGTTTAAAATAGCGTTAAACAGGGACGTCTTTTCAGTGTTTAACTATGATGACAATCATTTGATGCGGGTCAATTCCCCCCCCCCTCAATCAGTTCATACAATAATTGTATACAGGGTGATTACAATATTAAGTAAAAAAGTTTATTGCTATATTTTTGGAGGGGAACTTGAGTAGTTAAGAGATGGGGGTCTAAACCATGCAAGGCCTTCCTCTTATGTACTTAACCTCCTTTGATATGAATTATCAAACTGAGAGTTTACGAAGTGTAAATGCTTATAGGCTCAGTTCGACCTTGATTATATTACTTAGGTCTTAGTGGAATAGACAATAGTTATTAAATCTACGGAAGAATCATTTTAGGAAAATCTTTACTATAAATTATTATGATAAACTATTAAAGATCAACTAGTTTTTAATAATATGTAAAAAATAATATTTTAAATTGTTATTTAACAAGAGAACTTTTAAAAGTAAAATAGCAACCTACATAACATTTCTTATACCTAGTACCTACCTGTTAAAAACATAATACATATAATACAATGATTTATAGCTCAGCAATTATAATTTGCTTATTATTTAATTAAAAATTTGTTAAAGTAATAATATACAGTAAATTAATTATTAAATGTAAATATTATATTTATGCTCTATGAAATATTTCAATGCCTATATTTTTTCTGTCTCTATACAAATGGGCGTGACCTGCCCAAATTTTCTTTAGTTTTTATATTTATTTATGGGTCACCATATTTATTCTTTCTACTGGAACCTGTTCATTATTTTATTTATAACATCTAATCCGGTCAGTTCTTAAAAACGAAGCCTCCTAAGTAAATGTAATGTTTGCCAATGCATATCTTCCCATTCTTTGAAAAAATTCTTAATACGACACTAATTGTGAATTATATTTGACGATAAATTATTTTTTATATAAATTGGTAAATATTTGAAAATGAGGTTATCACCTATTAAAAATGGCATCTCGCTCAACGGAGGTCTCGTGACTATTCTTCATTGCTTTTTTATTTAAAGAAAGTTACAAACAGTTAAAGTTTTAAAGAATCTGTAATTATTTTTCTCCAATACATTAAAATAGAAATAACAAATTTGTTTTTAAATCTTAATTTATTATCAAAAAGACAATTGTATTATTACAATAATTGCATGAATAGTCACTATGTAATAAGTCACTATGATTATTAAAATAAGCGGTTGATTAGGTAAAACAATTTCCGATATAAACGGAGGACCTATTTAAAATTTGAGTCAAGTGGTCCAGTGATGTTGATTTTTAAAAACGTATATACTTACATCAATACTTAGCCTTATTTTAATGTATATGTTTAGCTTATGACTGTATTTATAAGGAGGAATGCAAGGTATAAAACAATTTAATCTCAATCCTTTCCCGGAGAATTAAGCTTGATGATTTGTTTTATATTTAATCGAATCCTTATAAAAGTTATTCCAATCAAAACGAACACAATTCACATTTAATGGTTTAAATTATAAAAGAGTCGATGACAATCGGAAACATTAATAATCTTAATCTTTATTGTTATTATTTTTTCTTCACGGACAATATTCCAATAACAAATAAAACGATATATTTTGCTTCTTTTGATTAAGTGACGTAAAGAGGGCGCTTAAATATTTAGCTTAATATTATAAAATAGTATGTAGAACATTGTTTAAAAATAATTTCGGATCAAAATCAACCATTATCGTGAGAAATTTCAGGATAAAACAATCCTGGATTTAGAAACGCTTTAGACTTTAGTAAATACCTAAGAACTAAATAGGTACAATTAAGTATGTAGCTGTACGTAAAGTAAGAGGAAAGTTTTTCTTACAAGGGAGAAAAATCGTCGCTACTTGTATCGTCAAAAATACCTAATTGATATTATATGTATATACTTTTTTTAAAGAGACTTAAGTTAAGTCTAAGGGGGGTGACTGGTGACCCTCTTAGCTCTTCACTCAACGCTTAGACATTTATGGATGTACTATTTTAACTGTACTTATTTTTATAAAAATATAGTTAACTAAATGTTAAAATACTAAATACAAGTTATAACCTTAGTAAAGTAAATTTATTTTTAAGTGCATTGGTTATAAATAATATTAATAGACAATCGTAATAAGTTTGAAAACTCCCAAACTAAGTTTTTAGAAATTCCATTTTGTTATAGACTAAACGTGAATATTGAGCCCAAAAGTGCATATTTAGTCCCTAAATTGTGTTTGAAAAAATTTAAATAAAAACAGAGTAACATTCCTTCTTCTCCGTAGTAATAGTTGTAAAGGATTTTAGATTAAAGATAGTAATTTAGATAGAATATCTTAACGAATGACCTTAAATAAAACCGTGCACCGCATTATTTTTGTTTTGTTGGGTTTATATATAGAACCTATTAATCATAAAAATTGCTATATAATAATGTTTTTAAATTTGCTTTTGTAAACACGGTTGTGTAATTACTATTTGTAATGGTCTTTAAAGATTACCTAATAAGTAATATCTATGCGCTAAAGTCCTTCAATATATTATTCATAACTATATTTCATGATAACGCCTTAGATTTTTCTATGTTTGGGTCACTGTGATACGAGGTAGCAGTTACACATATAAGTATTATTAAGGTAATAGTAAGTCAGTCTCGATAGATATTTGTAGGTCTAAACTTCAAAGTCTGAACTCTGATATTCGAAGAAAAAAATTACTATCTCAATAATATTACTTTAATACTGCGATCTGGCAGCTGTTTTTTAACTGTATTTTATTATGTTGACTACTTAGTATATTACCTATATAAATATAAATGCAATCCACCAACAGTACCTACTTATTCCATTAAAACAACCCGGGTAAAATAATTTATTTAAGCGTTTAATTGTTGAAACTGTTACAGTTAAGAATTGAAATAGGGATAACGAAATGTATGCTAGTAGCTTATCTGTAGCTAAGGCGGAATTGAGCATAAAATAGATATTAGATCTTGGATTTTGGAATGCGGTCATAACTATATAGTATATACTAAAGTCCAATTTTGAAGTTTTAGTTTTTTTTCTTGGACCCAAAATAATTATATATAATATATGTTTGTTTGCCCAACTTTGAGTTAAGAATATATAATAAAAACGTTATAAAAAAGGGACAATCCTTATAAACATATTTTTTTAACTTCATACAGGTAAAATTTTATTACCGTTGTGTATTTTATAGTATTTCTGATTGTTATCTAATTTATGCACGGGTCCCTTAAGAAACGGGGTTTTTAATGTATTTTCTATGCTGTATTAAAATTGTCTCAGATTTAATGTAGAACTTACAGGTTTTTTTTAACACAAAAGTAAAGAAAAAAACCGTGATTTTTATGTTACGTTGTTTTCAATTTTGACGGCATTTAAATGCATTCAGAGGCCAAAGTAGTTCAGCGAAACAAGTCCTATGTTTACATACATATATTTTGGTTTTGTCCTAAAAAAGGCTAAATACCTATATTTCACTGTTGTTAAAGTATTTAGTTGTTAAAAGATAAATAACTTGTACATACTCGATTGATTGCATTTTACGATTACGTTTTATAAGGGCTGACAAACCTGATTAGTTATTAATTGCTTAAAGAAAAGAAAAGAGTATTTTAAAAGGCCTAGAGCGACGAGCCAATATAATGATTATAGATTACATAGGCTCTCTAGTGGAGCTTATCAAAATCATAAGCTTTAGAAGTTATTTGGACATTTGATATTGATAAGACATAATTAAATTTTACATGTCATTTTAGAAGGGAATATTTTAGGCAAAAACCTATAAGAAGAACTAGGTCCTGCAAAGCATTTTTCACACACCAACACTTTAGGAAACTGCTTAAAACCGGTTAGCGGTATATCTGGCTGCAACGGCGCAGCAGTGACAAGGCATGGTCTTTTTATAGAAAATATAGAAATATGTAGGTCAAAGGACAAGGACTTGACAAGTCTAAAATATATTATATAAATACAAAAGTCTTAAAAGATAACGTTTATCAATAGTAATAATTATATCACAAAAAATAATACTTAATTACATGGGATTTTATGGGGATAGGCTTGCTATAATGTCTGTGGACGAATCAGGGTAGGCAATATAAGTATACAGATAATTACCTTTTTTCTCTTACTTCTGGCACTCTTCTTTTCCTTACTAGCAAATGTGCAAAATCAGTTTCTACGGTAAAAAAAAATGAATTATGGTTGATTTCTGGCCACACTGATGCACCTAAAATTTTGGGCAAGCTGTTATAGGTCCCAAGCCATTCGATAGTATTCTTCAATTGGTATAACTTGTTTATAACCTATTAAAAAAAAAAAAAAGAACCACGAGGGGCGGGATAGAGCGGGACCGACAAAACCAAAGTGGTAACTTGTTATCATTTGGGAACCTATGACCGAATGCCAAAATTTTGACCTATTTGATTTCTTATAAAATGTCCCTTCTGGTTATTCTGTGTTCATATTTCAATCATTATCAATTTTATTGTTGATATGCTTTTAACAATGAAAATAAATAACAATTATTTAAAATGATAAAAATAATTAACATAACATATGTGTATAGTGTACGTGAGTTGTGAAGTCAATAGCTTTTAAAATTTAACTATTTGAGTTTTGTTAGGTATAAAAAATAATTAAGGACTTTAGCCTTGCTTAAGTTCAAACGTATGAAAGTATTTTGAATAATGTTTGTATTAATGCAATTTGGTACTAATATATAATATTAGTACCAAAATTTTCACAATTAAAGTTATTTCAATACAATGGTTTTGAATTTTAAATTTCGCTATGGGTGGAAAAAAGGAACCATCGTAAGTCTGATCATGAAAGAATATTATGGCTGACATAATTAATGACTACATTTGTTTTTTTTTCTAAATCTTTAGTAAAAATCGATTATATGAAAAAGAGAGAAGAGACCGATTAAATGTCAGTTTTGAAGAATTGCGCACTGTACTGCCTGCATCAGAAACTAATGCTTCGTTGGGTAAAGCAGAAATTATTAATCATGCAGTTGATTTTATTAGAATCTTACAAAGTGAAAAGCTCCAAATATCAAACATAAATCGTATAAATCGTAAGTGTAGCTTCATATTATTTATATTTAACAATGACTTAATAAACAGGCATGATTTCTAGACTACAAAGTTTCCCTATCTTTGCACATTTGCCACAGTTATGGAAGATTTTATAACTTGTAATTATAAATTAACGTAGTAAAATACTTCTTTTTTCAAGTCCAGGGTAATTTTCTTGCGTACTATTATCTAGTAATCATGCATGTTTATTAAGTCGTGGCAATTGTATTTCATGCAGAAAATGAAACTGAGTCATTTGTAGAAATTGTTTTGTTAATTATATATAATTTATACAATCTGTAGATAATTATTTTTACAAAAAGTTTAATAAATAAATAATATGTTTAAGTGAACAGAGGTTAGGTTAGAAGAAATCATCTATTTTTGGAGCTAAACTAGTGTAATGTATTATTATTAAATACAAAACCCTATCTACACAATAGTGGATACTATTAAATAATGATTATTATAATAATAATTAACAGCATTATATTGACGTATCGTATGAAAAGTAGCACCGTTCAAGTTCTAGTAAAAACTAACACCAATCCAGGCTTCTTACGAAAACTAGCACGGTTGACGATGACCTTACAAAAAGTAGGATTGTTCGTGAATTTTTTACAAAAACTAGCACCAATAGCACGAACGGTGCTTGTCTTTGTAAGAACTTGAACGGTGCTACTTTTTGTACGGGGCGTCGATATTTACATCCTTTGTTGGAAACCTTATGATTTTTTTAATGTTATTAGATGGTTCATGTTGCTAAATGGGATTGTTTTAAAATAATTGATATGCCTTTAAATGTTACAGGATGTAGTATAGCATCATGTTCTATATATTTGTACATACCGATTTTATTGTAAATTTTTTTTCACAAAACTAATGTTATGTTTTTTTTTTAGGTAAAGAAATAATAAGACTGAAAAATAGAATAGTTCAATTATGTAATAAAATCAAATATCTTTTATCTCTTTTGAAAGAATCAAAAATTGAAGTACCCAAAGAAAAATCTAACAAAAGATCATTATTGAAAACTCCAAATAAATCAAAACCGATCAAAGATTCTACTATAAAAAACAGGTGTATTCAAAAATTAAAAAGAAAATCTAAATTATTACCAAAACCAGTTTCTATTTTATTACAAAGCAAACCACTTAACCTGCCGGTTTTAGCCACTTCTAACAAACCTACATTTATTGTCCCCAAAGGACATTTAATTAAAATTGAAACTACTCCTATTATACCACAATCTCAAATTGTGTATGATGTACCTAAGTTATTACTTTTACCTGAGTATAAAAGCTCTGGGCGTTTGATTGTTCCAAAGAAAAATGATGCTACAAGCACTACGTCAGTAAATAAAAGACCTATCCCATCATTAGCAACCTACAACAGTTTATTAAAAAAAACAAATTTTCTAAATGGTACTAATAAAACTACAAATTTGAATGATGCAAATTTAAAAAAAAAATCTGAGCCCATAAAGGAATCTACTAAAAAAAAAAATCTGGACAATGAAAATATTAGCAAAAATAATACTGCAGAAGCTGATAAACACAATAGTTTAGAAACAGTAAAAATTAGTGATAATAAATGTATACGAAGTCATACAATTGAAGCCATTGTGAAAGATATAAATCAAGAAAAAAATGAGAAACAGACTGAAAGAGAAGAAAATATTTCAATTGATAATGTAAACAGCAGTTCAACTGAAAATGAAATAAAATTTAACAACACTGAAAACGTTAATAGTAATAAATTATCAAATGATCACCCACCTGATTGTTTGTCTTCAACACCGACGACATCAGCTGTTGTTAACTCATTAAGTATTTTAACTGAAGAAAACCAAAGAAAATCAATGGAAACTGCAAAGAATATTATGTCTTGTTTTGATGATATACGTTTGCCCATGCCGAATACCGATTTTTCTACAGATCTATTTAGCTCTTTACAGGGACCAGTTGGTGGTCATCATGCTGATTCTATGTCACCGACTGAAGCATTTTTACTTTCTTTTCCCCTTGTTTCAACTTCAAAAAATACAAGCATTTTAAATGAAACTGAACACAATGATATACATTCAGCCACCCCAACAACTATACTTCAAATTGGAAATCTTGAATCGCCAGCCACAGAATTATATCAGAAAAATATAGAAGATTGTGAAAAAGGTCAAAATAAAAACAAAACTAAAGATAGTTATGGTTATAATGAGAAACCTTTTTATAATGAAAACTTCTTGGATATGAGTAAGAAAAATGATGATATATTTGGATATAATAAAGAAGTTAAGAAATCGAAACCAACAACTACTTCACAGCCTTCCATCGCAACTTATCCTAAAACACATTTTAATGATATTGCTTCATACTATAAAACAACACAATCGAGTTCTGATCTTTGGAGGTATACCAGTTATAATTCCTATGATAAAAATGTAAGTAAAAATATTAAAAAAAACGATAAATCTACTTCAACAGCATTTACAAACAATGTTCCTTATGTGCCGTATGATATAAATCCAACTACATACATTGACACAGAAAATTATAATGAAGTTTGGCCCCATAAACCCAAACAGAAAAAAAAGCAAAATGATAAAAATGTTTTGGTTAATTGGATGACAGATAAGGGTTGTCAAAATCTGTATCCCAAGAAAAACGATGACAGTTATCAAAAGAAAAACAATTTCGATATGACCTTTGACATTCAACCTGAGCCCAAACAAACATATTCATGGTCACCTTCGAAAACTCTACCTTTATTGCCTCATTTAGATACAAATATGCCTTCAACATTACCAACTTTAGTAGGCGACTTGGCATTGAATATAAATACTGGTACAAATACTCCATTTGATCAGCGCCTGTATGATTGCAATAAGAAGAACGACAATGTCATACCTATTACTAGTAATGAACAAAATATGTTTAATTATATAAATTCAAAATCACGATCTGTAAATTCAAATTTCTTATCTGTAAGCCAATTGGTAGAACAACCCAAAACTAATGACAAACGTAAAGGAAAAAGTTGTGCTAAGGATTACTGTTGTGTGTACCAGAATCAGAAAACCGATAAAGACTATTACCAAAATCAAACAAAACATTATTACCCTGATTCTAACACATTCGAACAAGATCAATCTTGGGTGAGATCAAAATATTCACATGATTCCAGTAGATCAACAAATCATAGTGCAGAGTCATTGATCAGAAATCATCAAAAAAATAATTCTAATTTAAAATTGAATCCAAAAAATCAACATATTTTGTCTAATAAACAGACGACATATTATAAGGCTGGGCAAAAGCCGAGTTATAGTAATAACGAAAACATAAGTAATTATTACAATCAACACAATAGCAATTATTTATACGACTGTAGAAATGATTTAGATAAACAACCATCTACGTATCAAATAGCTCCTAATTTCTACAACCCTCCTGTTACAACAAAACATAATATTGCTAATTATATTCCTTTACCTACAACATTTAATATGACAAATTCAACCTATAATAAGCCAATTCAGCATTTTACTCAGAATACAAACAATTACTACAACAATAGTAATAATGTAAATACATTGACCAATTTCAATTTGAGTACCATTTTTCCAGAAATAAATGATAAGGTAAATAACTTTATTTATTTTAGTCTTATTAACTTATTGTAGTATAGATTTGTATTCTTCTATTCTCAGGAATCAAATAATATCACATCGTTAGAAGGATCATCTAAAAATAACGAATTTGATGCTATAAATAATTATGGAACTGCGATTCATCCAACATTTTGATATGGTATACGAACTCTATAAGTAAGTTCATTCCAATAAATATTGTGTAGTTTTATTTAGTATTGCTATATATTATATTATTGTTTTATAGCCTAACCAAGTTTAAAAAACAAAATCTATACTAAATTAAATTTGAAATTTATAATGCATATATATATATAAATAAATATATATGTCTTAACAACAATCTATATTCTGTATAAACATTGTACAATGGAAATCCCTAAATCCAAATGATAACATGTCATTTATTATAAATTATGTTGTGTTGATAGACGTACTCAATACTGTCTAGTTATCTGCTTTCTAAATTCAGATTTTGACAACTGTGAGAGTCTACTAAATTCTTTTAATATAAATTTCACCTGTTGTTATATTTTGCTTTATTTTTAAATACAGTTTATCAATTATTCTTAACATTATATTTACAGATTCCAGTCTCATGACAATTGGCATTGTTAATTTTGCAAACTGTGATTGTGATATTAGTCTTAGATCTTTTCATACCAAATGTGTTATTAAATCCATCAACATGTTAAAAATTGCTAAATTATCTAACTGTGTCTCGTTGATTTCTGGACATTCTGAAGAAACTGCATTTGTAACACTTAAACATTTATATAAATCTGCATTTACACCAAGTTTAAATGTAAGTAATTACTATATTTTAATTTAATATAACATTACTTAAGTCAATGTCTTTAGTGCAAGGGGTGGGCTATTTCCTTTAAATGGATAATAGACATTATCCAACCCCTCCACACATACACAAGCTCTTCTTATGTGAGTGCTGTAAAAAGTTAAAACTTAATTTGAAAAATATGTGTTAAAATTTGTAGGGTACATAGAAAAAATTAAAAACCAGAAAAGTCAATTTAATTTTAATCTAAGAAAAACATGTTTTTAAAAATGCAGTATGTCAAAATTAATTTTTCTATAATTATATTAATGATAAGAATTAATAATTATTTTTATTATAATTGAAATTTAACTTTCAGTAGTATAATTCTTTCATTATACTGATTGTTGTGAATAAAGTTTGTTCAGATATCAATTACACAATGGGTATGCTGTATGGTTATGTCCAATATCCATTCCACAAAATAGTATCAAGTGAAAATTATTTCACATGTCAAATTGTTATAAAAATTTGAAATTTTTACTTAAAAATAACCACACAATATTAAGAAAGTTTATGAAGTATATGTTTATGACATATGGATATAATATTCTGCAAAAAAAAATATTTTCTTATAAATTATAAATTAAAAGCATAAAATGTTTAATTGCAGCTTGATACGTTTACTTTACTGGCTAACATAGAGACTTACAGAGTTCTTGAAAATGTATTACTCAGTAATAGCACATCTAGAGTTATGTTTAGTGCGTTGAAACTTTTAACAAAAATGCTACAATTTCATGTTAAATTATTACCAGAAGATGTATGCTCAATTTGCACTAAAACTACATTACCAACAACTGTTCTTTATTTCTTGTTAAATAAGTTGGAGTTGCTGCAAAAACATGTAAGTTAGACAAAATACAAATTATAGTTTGATATTTGTTTACATATTATACAAAATATTTAAACAAACTATATTTTCTTGAATTATTAAAAAAAAAACATTTTATTGTATTTTAGGAACTCTTAATGAATGTAAATTTTGAAGGTTTAATTGGATTTTGGACATTACTTTATAAATTACTCAAAGTAGTAATAAACTTGCCTAGAATATCTATAACAATTTTAACACCAACTAGACTTATGTCATCAGTAAGTAGTAAAATTAAGATTAGCAGTTAAAAAAGTTAATTAGATATTAAAAAAAATGATTTTGTTATTGTACATTTATAATACTAAAAGTTCATTTAACTAATGATTGTTTAAAATAAAAAATATTTTGTGTTGTATTGTAACTGTATAGATATATAATTTATGTTACAGTTTATACATGTTCTTAATGAATTTGTAAAAGGAAATATGTACACCAATCAGTCGTTAAATGATCTACCAATTGTGTGCGTTATGTATGTTATGATGAATTTGAAATTGCAAAATAAGTGTTTTTTGGAGTTTGTGGATTTTAGTGGAACATTATTTTTTGTGAAGTAATATAGTATTCATCCTACATACCTACTTTTAGGGCCTGTTTGTTACCCAGAAATAAATTATTTTTCACTATCAAAATAACTCCTAGAAAAAAATGTATATGTTAAATTGACTGGATTAAACATTTTTGTTACAACTTTTTTATCAAATATTTGATATTTTAACCATTAATATTCGACAACTGGGCATTTAAATGTTACCATTTTAACATTTGTCATTTTTTTTTAGATGCCTAAATATTATTTTTGTTAATACTACATTATACTTTTCTAAGTATATCCAACTATGTTTTATAAACATCACATATGAGATATTTAAGATGAAATCATTTTATGTTGATGACAACATTTATTGGACTATTACAAGTGTGATTATGAATAATACTACAAATGTTAATAAAATAGTAAGTTATCTCTAGAAGTAAATCGTTATTTTAAGGAATTTCTTGATATTGGTGGCAAATATATAATTAAGTTTATTGTTAGATAGTATAGTTTTGTATAGACTTCCAAATCTACTAATGTCTAATAACTAAATACATTTTCGACCTAAAACTTGACAGTAAAAAGTTTCCAAGTTAAAATCATTTTTCTTATCGCATACCTGCTTTATATTTTGAGTATGTATACTTAAATTAGAATCTATATTGCTATGATTTACTGTAGAACATTATTTAAATGAAAATTTAAATAACTATTAAAAATAAAAACCAATTTATATAAAAATTCAAAAAATAAATAGAACTGTAATTTTAGTTTTAACAAATACCTAAATATTAGTTACATAGCATTTTTATTTAAACAATTTTTAGTAACAAACTCAAAATTATATAACTAAATTTCAACTCTTAATATTTAAATAATAAAATTAAATAAATTATAATTTGCAATAGTAGGATTTATTTTAATTTTATTAGACTGCTTTTATTTATTTATTATTTTTTAAATAAAACATAAAATTTTTTTTTTAAATTAAACAATTTAATGCCACACCTTTTAAGCAGAGGTTGTGCTAGATGGGGCGGCCAACGTCGGTTTTGCAGTGCTGCGGTAATTGAACCCAGTACCTTAAGCGCAATGAGCTTGACACCTATTACCACCGCAACTCGCACCCTGACTTTTTGAAATGAAATGTATTTAATTGAATTATTAATTGCAACAGCAAATAAAAATGTATTTGTAATTAATGTTTATTTCATTAATTATTTGATAAAGTAATCCAACATTTATTTAAAATAATTAATTATTTTCAAATAACTATTAAAGCTATTTAAATTTAAAAAATGACCAATTTTTAATATAAGTAAATAATTATATTTCTGTGCAGCTTTAAGTTTTGAAATTGAAAATATAAAGTTTATTCTTATAATATGTTAGTATATTCTTTATCATCTTACTATCAACACACACATTAATTTTATCAACACATTCAACTTAGGGGTTATATTATAATTAATATCATAAAATATGGGTCAATCTGAAAAATCAAAATAACTTCCTAAAATTGTCTCTAAGTAGTTCAAAAAAAATAAAAAAGTCAGGATGTCACTGATAATCTGGGTGAATTAATAATACGTTCATGATATTACAGGGAAGAACCTATTTTTTTGGTAATATATTTAATTTGTGTAAAATATTATTTCTGTAAAAGGTTATGAATGCTGCGTATCAATTAATTATTAAAATTACTTCGATTAAATATTCATGTTCAAATGAAGCTGCTGCTCTGATCCATTTAAGTTATTCTAAAAGCTTACGTTTGAAACCCAAAAATATTTGCAGATTTTCCTTTTGGCACAAGTTTACTGGTATGTGTGTACTTCAGAATTGATTAAAATATTATTTTTAAGTAATTTAAATTTTCTTTTTGTAGAAAACAAAAATTCGCCGTGTTGTTTAAGAAAAAGTGGGTTGAGTTCATTGGAATCAAATACCATGCTGGAGTCATCTGTTGCTGTAGCTAATGAGAGATTTGACATGATAGTTTCAACAAATAGTGTTAATCAGTTGTTTGAAAGACCTCATTGTCATAATAATACGTATAAAGAAAATAATTTGTATTCAAATTCTTATAACAACACTTGCAAAATGGAAAAATATTTTTATTTTGCTGATTGGTTAAAGGAAAATTCTAGGACATCTACACCAAAAAGTTATATAATGTGCTAGTTAGACTTATGTAACAATTATTTTTATATTCAAGTAATAACTATATTTATTTTATTTTATTAAGTGTTAAAATTATTGTATTATAATTCATAGTCTTTTATCATTGTATGACTATTTTTAATATTATTTATGTGTAAGTTATCAGTTCTATTTGTTTTTATATTTAATTAATTTATATTCAGCCTCACATTACAATTTTTTTTTGTTTATAATTTAATTTTATGAATTACCATAGTTTTATTCACTATGTGATTTCAAATTGCAATGGCAAAACCGAATTTAAATCTTGTTTAGTATTACTGTTTATAAATTATTAAAAAAATGAATATTTTTCTATTCCTAATTGTTTTTTTCTTTTTTCGAATATGAACCTTTTCTTCATTTTATGAATAGGAACATCAATTGAATAAATAATCTATGCATTAAATAATGAGAAATGGGTTAAGATTATATTTTAATAATGTAAATAATTGTATAGTTTAGTACTTTCTTCTTAGATTAGGGTAATTTTGGCGTCAGCGAGCGATTTGCTATAGGTGTAGTCAGCTCTAAATGATTGGAACAAGCGGCAAAAGAGAAAAATATAGGTAATATTGTTACTATAGTGAGTTCTTATAATTTATAAACATATTTAAGAAATAAGAACATAATTAGGTAGTCTGAAATATGAATGACATTCTTAAAGTAGCTCGTTTGGTGTAATAATAAATTATTATGGGTACTTTGATTTACCACCACTTCGATAGCATAAATACTTCTTATAAACATCCTTAAGGACACTTTTTGGGACGGTTTTCGGAATATCTGAGGAACGATTTTGAATATCTGACTTTCATATAATATATGTGATATTAATTTTTAGACATTTTAAATTATTTATTACTTACGCCTAAGTAAGCTTAAGTCTAAAAAAATAAAAGGTGCAAATATTTATTTTTAAAATGTTTTACTGATAATTAATTTAGTAATTGGTAATTATTATATATTACTGTCCAATGAAAAATTAAAATGTGTCTGTGTTCCGTATTGTAACCATATTTTGAAACAACCTCAAGGAGTTTATATATGAAATGTCCGATACCATGTTTACCACATAATATGTTGGCGTCACCCGTTTTCTAGAGTCCAGACTATGGTGAATCGTCTCGTCTGACTGTCTATACTAAAGTCAAAATATTATATTATAAATTATATTACACATTTTTTTTTTTTATTAATTTCTCCCTTTATATATTATTATTGCATTGCGCTTACCTGTAAAACCGAAGCGGTCTCCCGTCATTATACAATATAATATTATAAATTATGTTACTTTTATAGATAACTTTAGTGACGAATGTATTTTGTGTAGTATGATATAGTTTACAATTTATGTTATAATTATATCGTTATCTTCAGTACCTACTTTTAGTCTTATGACTTATGTTATTTAGCCACCATACCTATTAGAGGTGTTATAATTTACAAATATTATTAGTATTTGGTACTTTTCAACACCTTTGAGTCTAAAGAAATAAGTATTATCGAAAACTCAATTTCACATTTACACCTTCGACATCTTGTTGTAAGTACAGATTTTCTATTAACTATTTTCATAATGAATAATTTTAAAATGTATGTGAGATAGTTGAAAAAATGGTTTTTATCATTCATTTTTGTTTTTCAATAATCTGATAAAGTACTAAATAGACATAATATTGCATTGAGCATATTCAATTCTGAAGTTTGTTTATCAATTGATATTGCGTTGTCAGTTAATTGAAATAGATTTTAATTAAAATTTAAATCATTTATCATTATGAAATAGAATACAATTAATTTGTATTAATTTTATTTGTATATACTGTTTTTATTAAGAAACTAATATCCAATATTCCAGCTAGTATAGATATTGGTCGATATTTACAATCGGCTAATTCACAACTCTAGTACTTTTCTTAACCTTATAATTGTAAAGCAATGCCCCGATTTCACTCCTTAATATGTAACATCCAAGGTACATAAGATTTACATGTTGATAAAATTATTGTATTTAAAAAATTTTTAAAACATGTACCCCCATTGAAATTTACAAAAGAATAACTGAAGTATAGGTCGGAAAAGCTATCTTTATAACTTCACTAGTTTTTTTTAAATTTCTAATTGTGCAGACGTACTTGTGAGCAATTTAAATGCCTAAAGTTCTTTATTTAAAAACAAATTAATATACAACAGTATTTTTTATTCCTTGTACAAAATTTCAAAAACTTTTTATTCTTTCATGCATTGTTTTTCAATACTAATATGTTTTCAACTTTATTATTTTTTAAAAGACACCACTGGTTGATAAACTATTTAATTTGTATGTATTATACGTTATGAATTCTCAAGTATTAGAATTCTTTCTCACTTGGATAATTAGTGAAAATCTGTGAATTATTTAAGACAACACGTGTTTGTTACCCAAGTATTAATTTAAACTCCTGGGTACTTGAGTATTTGTGTGAGTATAAATATATGTATTATTTACAAGTAATTATCAATCGGTAGTAGTGTCTATATTTAATGATTCAAAATAAAATTTATCAATCAAAAACATTTAAACTATGTAGTTCTGTGTAGAAATTTAGTAGTCCAATGAGACGTGCAAGCTATGGTGGTGGAAATCGTGGAGCTTCAAGAGGTAGTGGTGGTAGCAGAGGTGGAAGTTACGGCAGCCGTGGATCTGGTTTCAGCAGTCGTGGTGGTGGAAGCAGTGATGGATATAGAAGAGGTGGACCTGTAGGAGCAAGTGGTAATAGCTTCAGTAACAAGCAACCTGGCGGAGCCTTACGTAAACCAAGATGGGAGAGTGAAACTTTACAACCATTCCAAAAAAATTTTTATACACCGCATCCATTGGTTTTAAACCGGTATGTTTTTATTCGTAATTATATTATTATTTTAAATACTTTTACTACTTAATTATAATTTGTTTTCTTTTATAGTTCTAAACAAGAAGTGGAAAGCTATGTCAAAGAAAAAGAAATTTCATATATTGGTAGTAATGTACCAGATCCTATTATGAACTTCCATGAAGTAATTTTACCAGACTACGTTTTAAATGAAGTAAAGTAAGTTGGTAAACCCCATATAAAATATAATATATTCACTATTTTATGTATAAATATATATTATTAATTGTAAATATATAATAAAAGAAAACAAGGATTTAGTCAACCAACACCAATCCAAGCTGTGAGTTGGCCTATTGCATTGAGTGGTAGAAACATGGTTGGAATAGCTCAAACTGGATCTGGAAAAACTCTTGCTGTAAGTAATTACATTGTTCTGTTAGTTTAGACTTATCTATAAAATATATTTTAAAACATTTTCAGTTTATAATTATAAAAATCAGTTAGTAACATATACTTGCATTGTAAATTAAGTTATGTTTTTTTGTTTTTACTTTTTTAGTATATACTGCCAGCAATATTACATATAAATAATCAGCCTCGTCTCCTGCGTTATGATGGTCCAATTGCCTTAGTTTTAGCGCCTACACGAGAACTGGCTCAGCAAATTCAACAGGTCGCTAATGCATTTGGAACATCAACTTTTGTACGAAATACGTGTGTGTTCGGTGGTGCTCCTAAAGGGCCTCAAGCAGATGATTTAGATCGTGGTGTTGAAATTGTTATTGCTACACCAGGCCGACTTATTGACTTTTTGGAAAGAAATACTACAAATTTAAAACGTTGTACTTATTTAGTATTAGATGAAGCAGATCGTATGTTAGACATGGGTTTTGAGCCACAAATACGTAAAATCATTGAACAGATTAGAGTAAGAATGAGATTAAATTTTATAACAAATTATAAGCTGGAGTTTAAATGTTTTTTTTAAAAAATATTTTTAATATAGCCTGACCGTCAAGTTTTAATGTGGTCTGCTACATGGCCTCAGGAAGTAAAGAATTTAGCTGAAGAATTTTTAGTTGATTATGTACAAGTGAATGTGGGATCTCTCAACTTATCTGCCAATCATAATATATCGCAAGTAGTTGATGTCTGTGATGATTATGAAAAAGAACAAAAGTAATAATTGAAATTTTTTTATTAGCTGAATATATATATATAAATATTTGTTTAAATCTTGTTTTTAATATTTAGGTTGTTCGCTTTATTGACTGATATATTCTCACAACCTGAAAACAAGACTATAATTTTTGTTGAAACCAAACGCTCTGTTGATAATATTGTGAAATCAGTTAACCGCAATGGGTAAGAACTAACAGATGTTAATTATTGCATTACAGTTCTAAAAAATATTCACAAAATATAGGTGGAGATCTATAGGAATACATGGTAATAAGTCTCAAAATGAACGTGACCACACATTGAATCAGTTCCGCTCAGGTCAAGCAAACATTTTGGTTGCCACTGATGTAGCTGCGCGTGGTTTGGGTAAGTTGCGGTAGAGAAAGCAAATTCAAGAGTGGAACCAAGATTCCAGACTGGTTGTTAATGTATCGATGCCTTCGATGATCTTGTATCTACTCACTCAGCCGTTCGGGTTAATGTCAAAGAAAACAGAGCTCGTCGGATGATTTTCGAGGCACGTAATATAATATAGCCTATTTTTTTCCTTTTGTGTTATTTCTTGATGTCAAACTCAAGGATGATTACTATACATATAAAATGTAGGGCTGGTGTTTTGATCTTGTTATGATAATTATTTTTTTAACAATAAAATGACATGTACATAAATGCAAGACTGTTAAAAAAAATTAACCGATTTTTTGAGGTTTAAGCATATTATGATACAGTTTGCTTGTAAATAATCTAACTGCAATTACATCAGCCCAAAACTTAATAAACTAAGGCTATGTTATACCAATTGACCTTATGAAAAAGAATCAGTAGAATCTTAATTATCTGAAATTGGTTTATTATAATACTAAGGGAAATCTTTAGGGTCATACTGATAATTCCAATTTTAGTGCTATATTATTAATTAGGTTGAAATAAGACTTTTATTCAGGTATACACACTACGGTCATCATTCGGATAATTGGGTTTCTACTGTAAATATAAATCTGTTGAAATAGACATTCTCGATAGGCACCGAGGAGTAATATAAACATAATGTGAAGGAGCAATATCTTGAAATATTATTTTGTTGTAGGTTATTATTTATTAATATCTGATACTGTTTATGATGGGCTTAATGTAGTTCAATTTATTCTTATTTCTTATAAAAAACGTAATACTATGAAGTCATATATTACTTTGAAACTATTTTGAAAAGAGTTTTATTATAAAATTAATATTTAAATGAAAAATTCTTCTTAAGTGATTTAAGTCTCACAAAAAATGTACAAATCAATACGGTATTGGAGGGATTAAACACATAAAACATCATAGATCGGCAACACTAACTATTATTTTTGGATTTCATAATTATTTTAATCTTTAAATACAGAAAAGCGAGTATAATATAGCGTTTCTTACTGTTACATTAATGTTGTCTATTTATGTTTATACTTACTGCTGTATTTAGCTGTATTATAATATAAGTAATAGATCGTTTACTAGAATTTGAGAGCCATCAGTCTAAATCTTTTTTAAAAAAAATGCACAAGAGTGAGTACTATTATCTATTCCATAGGCTACCTGCAATTAGCCTTGCTTGTTAGGTTATAGGCTGCTGTAAGTATAAGTCACATAGTCTTAGAATATTGTTGTACTCATGACCTATGAAGAGATGCAGCAAATCCGTAGTAAACGATCTAAGGTACAGTCAACTTTATAATCAGGAGTTCAAAAATTAATTCTGGCCAAATTTTATTCTTTATTATTAAGCACCACACTGCCGTGCAAAAAATTAGCAAATGTTTGTCAATTATATGGGTTTATGTACATGCTAATGTATATATTGCAACAAGCATTTCTCTGATGTTTCAATATACCGACCGAGTGAATATGTTTGTGGACGTTTTGCACAGCAATGTGGATCTTTAAAAAAAAATATTATGTATACTATTACGATAACGTATTTATTTTATTTTATTATCTTATCGCACATGCGTATTTCAAAAGTGACACAAGTCTAAAATAATGTTTTGAGAAAAATTCTAAAAACTGTTTAGTGAGCATATCAAAAAGCATTTACATAACTAATATATTTTTTTCTTTCAAATTCTATAGGTAAAAGAAAAAATTTATGCAATATAATTATTTCATGTTTTGAGGACTGTTAACCCAAGTCTTACTATGGTGATAACTAAAAATTAAGATTTTTTGACTTGTCACTTTTGAAACTCTTGTGTGATATGTTTTAACTAGGTTCATCACTTATTTTGTGAAAACAAATATAAAATAAAATGCTTTATTCTTTTTGAAACTAATAGATAGTCAAATAAATTTACTTAACTCCTGCATTAGTTCTCAAAGAAAATACTTGAGTGAAAATTAAAACTAAAAAAAAAAAAAAAATTTTAATAATTAGAAAAAATAATGTGCTAATAATTTGGCTGGAATTACTTCCGTATCTCTATTTATAATACCATTATAATTAGTAAAATGTGCTCCTTCATATTGAAATAAATAATAAGGCATCTGAATTATTTGATTCTATGTCAATCAGTCTGGTTATTTTTTAGGTACTTCTTTTGTCCAATTTAGTATGGATTAAATACATTTTTTCTTTTTCTACGCTTATTTTTGAAGCTGAGTTACTCTACATTTTAATTATAAATGTATAAAACTTTAGCACATTATGTATATATATATATTTGTAATTTTTGTAAGTTTAACATAAATGCACTAAAAATATCAATTATTAAAACACTATGTCATGGTGACATGGACATCATGCTCTAAACACAGCCTTATGAAAATATAATAAATAGTATATAAATACATTAATTTTATAGGATCTATCTTTTGCTAAATATATTTGAAGGTTTTAGGTCGAAATAACATACTACATATTAACAAATTAAATATGCTATGAACCAATCTAAACCTATTTTAAGAACTATAACTTTTCCTAGAATTCTCATATTTCACATAATCATCATGCAATGAATCATGCATGTGTGAAAACTTATCAAACCTGTTGATAAACATTTTCATTTCTTAGACACTGTAAAATTTACGAAAATTTTCTTTTTGTTTCTTCGGTATATAGCTGGATATAACTGGAATTGTAAGGTTAAATAATATAATAATGCATATCAACTCGTAATTGAAAACTGTTTAACGATCAGTCATTATTTTTTGGTGACACTTACACACAAATAACTTATATTTAAAAAAAAAAAAAATTTTGATTTTTTAAATAGAAAGATTAATATTTCGAAGTCTCTCCATGCTGGTAAAATGCAACATTTTAGATTTCTAGTGGTGAATGTACTTTGATGTATATCAGTTGCTACACATTGTTTTTTCATGGTTTTGTTTGTTAGTGTGGACAAGCCTTAATTTCTTTATTCATTATTTTCGGTTGTGATAAAAAAATGAAAATTTCTTGCTCAAATTAGAAACAAGCAGTAAATTGTTTCCTTTTAGTTTGGATGGCAGTGTGCTGTATGTCTTCAATTTGTTTAGTTTGTTTAGTTATTACTTTATTTTGATAAGCAAGCACATTAACAATATATTTTATAAACACATGCAGGTATAAAAAAAAGCTGTATATATATATATATATATATCTATATATGTAAGTAATTTTGCACTTTATTGAAATTAAATATTTTATTAATAAATTAGATGTGGATGATGTCAAGTACGTGATTAATTATGATTATCCAAATTCTTCCGAAGACTATGTTCATCGTATTGGCAGAACAGGTCGTTCTAGTCGCACTGGAACAGCTTTTACTTTTGTTACACCCAACAATGCCCGTCAAGCTAAAGATCTTATATCTGTGCTTCAAGAAGCCAACCAAGTAGTTAATCCTAAACTTTTTGAACTTGCTGAAATGGCTGCTGCTGGAGTTTTTGGAAGAAGTATGTAGAATGTTTATGTATGTAGTGCGTTTATCAGCTGCATTGTATTTTTTTTTATGTTTTAGTGGATCGTTCTAACCGCAATCGGGGTGGGCCCAACAATCGATCACGTGGTGGTCAAGATCGCGGCAGTAGAGGAGGTTACGGTGGTGGAGGTAACCGTGGAACTTACACTAACAGAGGAGGTAGTCGAAGCGGATATACTGGTAGTTCTCAAATTGCAAGTCGGGGCAGTTACTCAAGTGGAAATCAAGGAGGTCGCAGTGGATATAATTTGTCGACTACCCCAGTAGCAAACAACAATAACAATAATGGGGCCATACCAACAGGTCGTGAAAGAGTTAGTAGATGGGGCGATAGTAATGGCAGCCAACAACCAACCCAACCTAGTCAACATCAACCAACTTACATGTCCCAACCTGTTTCTGCACAAATGCCTAATATGAACAACCCTCCACCTGGATATACTGGTAATTATGGATTCCAAGATGCTACATCAAACAACAACTATGGAGGAGGATTTAATTAATGATGACCATTTATTATTTTTAAACTGTTAATTATTATTCTTTTTTGTTTTTTTTAATAATTAATTTTAATTAATGAAAACACTTAAATAGACAAATATTTATCTATTGAAATATTAAATTATCAATAGCACAACTACTCGTGTAGTATTAATTTTTAGTAAATTATTTATTTGATGAAAAAAAAAATGTATTATAATATATTTGGAATTGTCATTAATTGTTGTTTATTTAAAAGTGAAACTAGTTTTTAGCTCGGATGTGTAGTTTAAAACATAAAAAGGTATGATTTTTCTGTATTTACAATAACATTTCATTAGGTACTATTATAATATTAATATCTTCATCAATTAGTCCATTGATCAGAATTAATTTTTAATTATTGATTAAAGAATTTGTACTAACTCGGTCCCAAGTATTTTTTTCCTTTTTGGTTTTTATTTAAAACGAAAAAACTATAAATTATTTTAAATACAATAATATATTAATATATTAACTAAATATTTTTCTATAGATGAAAAAAAGTTTGTTGTTTATTCTTCGGGTGATTAATAAAATTGCTTGAATTAACAAAGGAATAACTGCTTTTGTAACATCAAAGAAAATTATAGTTGTTCTAATGATTAGTACCGTTAATATTGTTTGATGCTTAGGATGTATTTTAATGCGTTTTCACATTATTAAGAAAATATGAATTCAACATTTTTAAAATATTGAACCGATTAAATCATTTTTAAAGAAGTATAAAACTTATCTTTTCAATTTCTTATCCAATTAGTTCATATTATTCTGTTGAGAACAATTCTTAATGGCTAGAAAATATTATAACCTTGGTACATTCACTTTTGGAAATGACAGTTTGCGCAAACATTAACTATAAGTTAAGAATTGATTGGAAGATAATCAGTTCACAATTCTATATATTTATACTAGTACTTTAATCACAGAAATTGCGCAGAGATAATTAAATAATAAATAAAAATAGGACGTGTGACATTTATTTAAGAGAAAACATAAATAATTCAAAATATAATACATGTATAAATATAGAATGTACAACATTTAATTTGATTTGAGCAATCATTTTTCAATTGAATAAAAATTTAATCAAAAATAAAATAATATCCTTAAAATTATTACTAATATTACATTTGACAACAAATTGATCAGTCATTTATGAAACTATAATAATTTTTTCTAGATATCAACTCAATATGTGTGAAAGAGAATAATTATGATTTGAATTCGGTGTTCTCATTATTTCATTAGCGTGTGTAACGCGATTTCTTGGTCCTGGCTCAGGAGTGTATGTAAATGTCAAACCAGTAGCATAAATAATTCCATCGTTTCTTACTAGTGATACAGGCACCTGTGTTAAATGTTTTACCCATGACCAGTCTCCTCTGAATGAAGATATATCAGGAACGACTGCTATCATGCTTTCTTGACAACGAAACATGGTTTCAGATTCAACATTTCCAAACCAAACTTGTAAGTGAGGTGTAAAGTTTTCACCACTCAATTCCAACATAGTGACATCTCCTCCCCCATTAGTATTTAACCCGTGTACTACCGGAACTGGTGTTATTGGAGAGTTTACAGGTCCCATTCCTTCATAGAATTGATATTCGGCTTTGTCCGTACTAATTATAGTCCAACAAGCTCCATCGTTAATCATTTCTTTGTTTGGACTCTTAGGACAAGCTGTACCTTGGAAATTTGTGATACGTTCTTGTGCTAAACACAAATACATGTGATCGGTGTCTTTCATATAGAACGCACATTTGTGAAGTTGTGAAACGGGATCATCGGCTTCCAGTAACGCGGTTTGCTTGTCTACTTTTCTGATGACTAATCGTGGTAAAGCCATTCCAGTTACACTGCATACCAACTTTACTGTGCTGCCATAATGAATATAACCGTCTCTAACATTAAATTCTTCACTTTCACTTTCGTCGTCATCTAATAAATAAATTATGAAAGCTCCCCATTGAGTTGAGCTAGCGTGAAAAGTTCCGTTTTCAACATGTAAATAACGTGTGCTCACTGTTTGAGACCGAAGCCTATTAAATAATGCCACTTTTGTTCCACTAGCAATACATAAGTCTGCATTTTTTAACGATTGTTTCTTTTTCGAAGGTTTGGATATAACTTTAATTCTTTTACTGTGAAACGTCCCAATATCGTACCCGTTATTATAAAACATCCGAACCATGAGCATAAAATGTTTGCGCTTGTCAGAATCAGATATAAACAATGTTTTGGCAGCGCAATACTGTTTATTATTGTTAAGATCAAGTGGCTGTAAATCTTGATCCGCACTTCCGATACCGATGAATGCACTCATTTGAGAATTGGGTTCTGTCACACCTTCTCTCATAAGCTGCTGTTGACGCAAACTCCAACCATTGCCAAATAAATACACACATGGCGGTGGGCAGAAAAAGCGTTTTTCGTTACCATATGATTTTTGTGCTACTTTAGCATGAAGAATAACTAAAACTAAATCATTCCTATCACGTAGATATCTTTCCATGGCATCTTTTGTTAGCCGCTTTTCAGGACGAATTTGCATAGAAAGTTCAGGACCATAATGATGAGGCATGATGATAAATATTTAATCCAATCAATGTTATAAAAATATATCAAATCTCGATGTCATAAATGTAAAACACATATCAGTGATTGTAATTTTGACTGAAGACAGGATCCAAAAGCCTATAAAATATAATTAATGTACATTTTATAATATGTTATTTTATAGTTTCCAGAAATTATACACATAATTTAACATATTAAGGTGAGCCCGCAGCTAAATAAATTACAGGTTTAAAATTAGCATGAAAAATAATACAAAAAGGAGTGTCCGGCAATGTACATTTTTATCAAAAATTAAACATTCCACACCAATGTCTACTATCTTAGTACTTAGTTCATACACTTAGAATTAAAATGATTTTCATAACTAATACAAGTGAACCGTTAAACATTACACAATATACTAGTTGTTAGAAATTACCATTAATGATTGAAAAAAAAAATTCAAAGTAGATAATTTGTAATTAAAAAAATTTTGAAATTGCCAAGTTCAAATTTTAAACACTAAAAACACAAATTATATTAAGATCAAAAGCTTACAAGTTGCAACGACACTGTGGAGACACTTATCAAAATATATTATTATGTTATGATTTCGGAATGGTGATAACATTAAGATTTAGTAAATATTAAATAATGTCAATAGAATAACATCGATTATCGAATATTAAAATTATTTTATTTTATAAAAAATATTTAAAATTGAATTCAAGTACATCATTAGTTACAAATTCTTATTAAAGATTAATTATGTATAAACTATATTTATTATTTAATAACAAAGCCTAAATTAATTTTTATAGTTTGTGTTGGTAGGCATAGGCTATATAAATATTATTTAAAATAAATGTTTTGTGATAATATCATATGATAACGCTCATAATCAGGCATCATTATTCAGCACGTGTATTTTACAACTTGACATTTTTAAAATACTTGATACAATATATAACTATAATTATATATATATATATATATATAATTTATAGAGTATTTTATTTTGAAGTGTCAAGTTCTTGACATATTAGTATAACTATAGATAACTTTAAAACTTAAACAATACAGTTTGTTTTAGTGTTACATTAACATTAAACAGTATATATTTGACATTTCTTAAGTTATAGTATATCTTATACTTTTTTGTATCTACAAAATTTTCCAGTTGTGTAGGTAATAGATAAAATAAAAAAGAAAATTAACCATGGATTCACAGTCATCTGTAAATGCAAAAAAGCATAAAAAGAAACGTATGTCATGTTACCAACATGCTATGAAATATTCTAAACGAGGAAAATTTGGTCATGGTTTTCAAATTCAAGATGATGATTTTCAATATTTTTTAAATATTCTCAAAGTATCAAATGAAAATTTCGAAAGCGTGGAAGATAAACGTAATATTCTTAAAGTATTTAAATACTTAATATTAATAAGTTATAGCTTACAGTTTTTAATAAATAATGTTGAGTAACAAAAAATATTTTTTCTTCCTAGGTTTATTTGTAGATAATGTCTTTAGACAGCTGGATGGCAATGAAATTAATTACTGTAGCAATCAGGTAGTTTCACGTATTGTTGACAACTTACTGCCTGAGGCCAGTGATGAAACAGTATTTAAGCTAATAAATACTTTTGAAAAGGACTTGAGACCAATTTGTAGTGACCAGTTTGCTAGCCACGTTCTTCAGCAATTACTTCACGTCGCTACTAGTCGAATACATGTATGTTTTTAAAAATATATATATATATATCACATTAGCCTTTAAAATGTATAATATTTAATAATGTTATTGTATATTTTTAAGACTATAAAAGATGAATGTAATTCAAAAAAAGAAATCTATGTGAACTGGGTTAATAAACTATGCAAATTTGTATTGAATAATTTGGATGAATTTGTCTGGGATACCTATGCCAATCATATTATACGTAGTTGTATGGCTTGCTTATGTGGACGCCCGTATTTAAGTTCCAAAACGCCTCATCAAAAATCTGACGAGTTTGAAACTACCAAAGATAATAGGCAATTATTAAAAAAATATGCTGATCACATAATTAATACAAATCAATTTTCAGGCAAGTTATTCCTATTAATATAAAAATCGAAAATATAAGGTTAGGTATACCTAATGGTTATTATTTTATTTTTTTAGAAATGCCTACCAATGATATTACATCAGGACTTCTACAAGTACTGTTACGATGTATAGCTTTTATATCGAAAAAAAGGTTAAAAGCTTTAATTGATAAAGTAATGACTACAAATTTTCCAATAAATGAAGCCATTTCAATTTTACAAGTTCTTGAAAATAGCTCACTTGCTAGGTATAAAAAGCTGTTATAGTAAAAAAAATGTTCAGTTGGTTTTCAAAAGTATTTTTTTATAGATTGTTAGATGTCATAATTTCTGAATCACCAGAGAAGCTAAACAAATCTATTTATGAGACATATTTTGATGGAAAACTCTCAGATTTAGTGATTCATCGTAATGGAAATTTTAGTGTTCAAAAGATTTTATCCAGAACAACAGATAATAATCAAGTATTTTATCATCCCACCGCTACATTTCTATTTACATATTTTTATTTATAATTGTTTTCTTAGTTTGAAGCCATATTTGATCAACTAAATGAAAAGATGTCTAAAGTATTGAGTTTAGGCTATACAGGAGTATTGTTAGAACTTTCTAATACTTGTTTACGGTTGAAATGTAAACAAGCTTTGTTCGCAAAGGTAAAAAAAATACTAGTAATATAGTTCAATAAAAATAAGTAAAAACATAAGTTCTTCAGAACCACATCTTGAATTTCGAAGATAAAAAATAAAAATAAATTGCATATTTCTACTTTGGTCTCTTATAAAAATTACAAATTTTAACCAAAAATTATGAAATTTTTTTCATAATATTTTGATTAAATCTCAAATATTTTTTTTTGTTAAAAGAAAAACTAAAAAAAAAAATTATTTGGTAGTAAGTTTTTTAAATTTTGTTACTTTAAAATAATATTATAATTTTAGACCAATTTCTTCTTGTGTTCAGAAATAGATATATTATAGGTGTATATTTTTCTAGACATTGTGTGAAACATTGAATTGTAAAGAAGAAACTGATGACGGCATGACAGTTTTACTAATTCTTGGATTAAAATCAACAGACAACTATGACAATTCTATTAAAGAACTTCCAATTCACATGCATGGATCTTTAATAGTTCAAAATTTACTAAAATTTAATAAACCTATAAAGGTAATTGTTTTTAATAATTAGGATACTGTATAGATATTTTTTTTAATATTGGTAGGTATAGTTTCATTGCATTAACCAAAATCGCTAAAAAAATGGCAATTTTTATATTTTTGAAAACTTTTAGTAAAATAACAAAACATTTATTTTCAATTTTTTGTTTTAGACCGTAAATAATTTAATCAATCTGGATACAGAGCGTCTTATTTATATATTTTGTGACGTTAAAGGAAGTTACTTAGCCAATGCTTATTTTGAAAGTAATTTTATTGGAGAAAGAAGCCGCGAGAAAATGATATGGAAATTGAAAGTAATATAATGTTACTGAAGTTTAAAACTGAAAATATATTTTCTTTCTTTTTTTCAAGGGCTATTACACAACATTGGCAGCATCAAAGAGTGGTTCACGTGCTTTTGATTGCTTATGGAAAGTAGCAGATTCAAAACAGCGCATTAACATAATGACAGAATTTTTAAAACACGAGTCTCAACTTAATGCTACTCCTTTTGGTTCAATAATAGCTTCAAAATTAGACTTGGGAGGATTTAGACATAATCGGGATAACTGGATTAAAACAGAACAAGATAAAATTAAAGCTGTAAAAGTTTTTGAGACAAATAAATGAAAACTGTTATGTGTTACTTTATTTTATTGTGTAAATCAAATTCAATTTTACAAATATAGTACTTTTATACATAATTATTCCAATTGCTGCCGTCCTCTGGTAATAACTGATTAGTGACTAAGAGTATTACATCGACAATCCACCATATTCCACCACCGCCTAGAGTTAACAATTTTCCAACAGCAGTACCGGTTTGTCCCAAACAAAATCTATCCATGCCAAGGAATCCGAGTAGAATGGAATACAAAAGGGTAGTGAGGAAATAATAATTATTGTATCTAGAAAAAAAAGGAAAGTAAGAAATGTTTTAATGTTTAAAAAAATGTCATATATATACTTTACGCAAGGAAACCCATCTTTATAGAACGTCTTGGGTCCGTGACATTCAATTCCTGGTAGGACGACACATTGTGCCATAGCTCTTTCTACGTCTTCATATCTATAACCCCCTCCATACTGTAAATAATAATTTTGTTAAATGTAATATCTGTACGTCGGAACAAAAAAAATGTAAAGCAAGAAATGGTAATTTTCAGGTTATTGCATTTTTGCATCAAACCGTATATGATTGGATTTCCGTTGAAGTATATATTTTATAAGAGGGGTTGAAATAGTGTAATTCCTCATAAGAGCATAATGCTTGATAATTAATGCTTTTGTGAAAAGTTGGTATAATATGACATTCATTTTTATGGTTCCGAAGTATAGATATTGTATTGTTATAGTTTTTATTATGACGAGTTACTTTAACACAGCCGCCTGGTCCTGATTCGTCTCTTGCCGTTTTGTTTCCCTCGAAATCTTCTGGAATTTCACATTCTAGGAATTCCATCGGTCTAAAACCGAAGAGGTATTAAAAATTGTTTAGCAAATATAGCATAAGTAAACTGTAAAGGAGAAATCTTACAGAAAGGAACATTTGACCAGAGGACCAGAGGGTACATATTGTTCGAAGATGTTTTCAGTAGCCGTTTCGTTTTTAGGCGATTCTGTTCTAGATAAATTTCCATTCCACGCGCCTTGGCAACAACAATAGTTATTAGTCAGGTATGCGAGTATTATCCAACAATACTTATTTTCCATTTTTAGAGATAAAGTCAAACATGACTAATAACGATAACGGTTGTAGACTTAAGTGTGAGCTATGTTTAAGAGTTCACAATACTTGATCCATTAATAATTATCATTATCGAACAACGCGACGGATCAGAAATCTTGAGTGTTTAAACGTCAAATACGGAATTAGGATTTGGGAAGACCGTTTGGTTATTGTTAATGTTTACTGATTATCGAACAACTAATGTAATAGGTATGTCAGCACTTTTGTTATCAATTTTTACAATATGGTTGCCTGTTTCCTCCCGTAAGAAATATAAGGCCACCCGAAAAAAACAGACGGCCATTTCGCGGTTATCATAAGTTGCAGACATACTTTTGCCACGATAAATGTAAATACTATAATGAAAGCCTAATATCATCGTATCGTTATCAGTTTTCGGTATTTGAAAACAAAATTGTTATCTGCTACAAATGTGTTATGAGTTATGACTTATGCCCCTAAATGATAAATATTTCTCGATTATCGTTGTAAACGTGAGTCATGAGTGTCGTATATTTTTTTATTAGACTTTGAAGTGTTTTCAATATAGTTTTAATTCTATTAAAATGGCCAACTTCACGTCACCGATGCCGTCCAGGGAATTCCTATGGGACGTATTCCAAAAGTTAGTTATAGAGTATAGTAAATCGTAGCATAAAACTTAGTATTTAGCTAATATAAAAAATATTATATATTATGCAGGGTGGACAAAGATCGAAGTGGTTTTATTTCGGCTGATGAACTGCAGATGGCACTGTCCAACGGTACATGGACGCCGTTCAACCCAGAAACAGTACGTCTAATGATTAGTATGTTCGACAAACACAACAGAGGAACAGTTTCCTTTGATGACTTTGGGGCGCTTTGGAAGTATGTTACCGACTGGCAAGCATGTTTTCGATCATTTGACCGCGATGGCTCGGGTAATATCAATGTCGTAGAGCTAAAAGACGCGTTGACTTCATTTGGGTACAGACTCAGTGAGACAGTCGTATCAGTTATGCTCAAGAAATTTGATAGATTCGGACGTGGTACTATACTATTTGATGATTTTATACAATGTTGTGTTGTGTTACATGTAAATATTACTTTATTTCATAATAAACTATACATAATTATAATTTAAAAAAATATACCCTCGCTTTATTTTGGGTTTTGCATGATTTCAGACGTTAACAGCTGCATTCCGTCAATACGATACTGATCAAGATGGTTATATAACTATACATTACGAACAATTTTTGAACATGGTATTTGGTTTAAAAATATAATATTCTATTGAAATATTAGTCTTAAGTATTTCCTATTTTAAAGATGAAGCCATAAAAAGGTAATGAAAACGTTAGTAATTGCCGTCAATTAATTATGAGAATATTATTAAGTTTTTTACTTGTTACTAATATTTAACTTGATAAACATATGAATTTATTATGTGATTGTGATATTTAAAATATTCAAAATTTGTATTATTGTTACCTCTTATTTAATTATTAACTATTTTCCACATCAATTATGTATATCAGATGAAATAAAGTAAAACTTAATTTTACTCTAGGGTATTTTTATTTAAAATATTATTAGGTAAGTATTACAATTTTTATTAAAGTTTATGGCACTTTCAAAAAATAATTAAAAATGAGTTTATAAAATTTATTGGAAAAATAATGATGGTTGGTATTAAATAAATTCATATAAGTATTATAAAAATAATTTTTTTTTACTGTAATTAATATCAAGCTTATTTTGAGCATTGAATATAGCTAGAAACCGATTGTAAAAGCTTATCACTTGAATGATTGGCAAACATAGCAGCCAACAGAGCAACACCATACCCGGTTGCCCTTTCACCCTAAATTAAAAGTACAAATATTAACGGTTTACGTAAAAATTAAAATTTTAATAGAAAATTTAATTTACATAATGCGCAGGACCAGCTATGTCCACATGAATCCATTGATTGGCAGTTTCAAATCCTAAATGAGCAGCTATAAAAAGTCCAGCACACGATGATGTAGCATTAAAACGATCCTGAAAACAAATTACTAGTTAATAATCAAATTAACAATTGATCAAATTACAAAATAAATAGGCTTACGGCTACAGAGTTTTTCATGTCTGCAACTGCTGATGAAAATTCACAAAAATGGAGTTCTGGGCAGTAGACCAATGGAAATGTTAAATCACCAGATATGAGACCTGAAGATACTGCACGTTTCTCCCATTGTTCAGAGTTTGACATTACGGCCGCGTGATATTTGCCTGTACTTATAGCCTAAGCAATTTGAAAAAGTTAATACACATTTTAAAAATCAAAAACAACAATTGATGTTACTTGTGCTCCAGTTAAAGTGGCCATGTCAAGAATAATTTTTGCATGAAGGTCTCTAGATGCATACACAACACCATCCGACAGAACAAGACGTCCTTCAGCATCAGTGTTATTAATTTCAACAGTTCTAGAAATAAAATAAATTATTTAAAAATTATCAATCTTTGTTAAACCCTTGGTAACACACGTGAGGTAAAAATTCACCCCAGTCACATAATATAATTATGTGACAAACGTGAAAAGTTTACCTAAGTCACACTTTATTGAAGTGTGACTGGAAATCGCACGCATGATAAAGGGTTAAGAGTCCCGGTCTCTCTCATTTTTGCTCAAAAACATGCATCACAGGAATAATTATTCATAAAATACAAAGAGAAAAGTATGATTTTGATAATTTTTTTTTTTTTGGAGAAGGAAAATTACGGTTTCATCGTTTTTCCAATATAGTCATTTTTCACATTCAAAATGGCTATTACTGGTAGGAAAAATTATATACAGTATTAAAATATTATCATGAAGCTTATACAAATTAACCTGAAAATAAATCAACATGGTCAAAATTTGTTAAAACCGCTTTTTCTCAGATATTGCCTATATGTTGCTCTTAATAAATATCCATGACAGAGATTAATTATATGTATTTAAATTAATCAATAAACGCACCTTCCCGAATAAAGTGTATGTATATCATCTGGACGAGTTGAATTGGGTCCAACCGAATTTTCAGCTAAACAAAATATAGCGTGGAGGTTTTGTTTAAAACCAGATTTAACCATTGCATGAAATGCTCCTAAAATAGCAGCTGCCCCGGCACAATCTCGTTTCATTCCCGGCATAGAAGTCTGTGGATATAAGACATTTTTATACAAAATAGTGGAAATTATATTATTTAAAACTAATGTAGTGTATACCTTTCCCTTAATACTAAGGCCTCCGGTATCGTAGACAATTCCTTTTCCGACCCATGCAATTGTTTCAGTGGCCCCAGGCGGAAAGTATGACAAAACAGCTAGGGCTGGCCCAACAGAAGAGGCTTTACCCACACCGTATATTCCACCAAGTCCTTTCTTCTTTAATTCTTCACCGCTTATAATGGTAGGAACTATGCTTAGGTCAGCACCTACTTGTTTTATTTCCTTAAATGATAATTACAATTAATAGGATTTTAAGTATTTTATTCAACCTTTTCTTTTTTTTAAATTTACATCTAAAAAGTGGCTGACATTCATATCATTGCATGGAGTATCAACAATTCGAGTAGTCATTTTAATAGCATTCGCTATTCTTTCCAGAGTTGCCATCTCTTCTTTATCGATGGTGCTGTTACCAATATCATCAGAAACAATAACAAACTCTACAGTTACAGTTACCGTAGATTTTTTTTGTTCTTTCAATTTACCATTAACCACTTTAGTTTTACGGCAATAATCATAGAATGCTCTAGCCGCAGCACAACCAGATGCAAACATATCTCGGCGCTCACATACAATCTGCACAGTTTTTAGTAAATACATATAAATATTTAAATAGACAGTAACAATAATAAATGCAATGTACTAACCACAATACATTCATCGTAACCAGCTGAATGAGTCTTAATTAACTTTGTCAACATGTGAGGTTGAGCTGATGAGTTGTGTCGGCTACGGCTGTTGGAGACGGCTGCTATTGTGGCCGTATTTAAGAAAAGTGGACAAGAGTCAGTCGGACAAGGGTTCAAGACAGATATGGCAGACTTGAAAGTCTAGAATATGTTATAATCTCAATATAGCTGTTGTATCCATTGTGTAAGTCATTAAAACATTATTACTTGTTCGTTCACTCGAGGTTCTAATTTGCATTTGACTGTACTGTATGACAAATTCGACAAATGTTTTTCTTGTCCAACAATTATTACTGGAACGCTAATTGGGTCGGTTTTACTCAGAGTTGATGAAAATTTTACTACAGTGCTATGCATTATGAGGACAGTTTTATTGACTGTTAAATTTTAAAAATCTAATTGACGTTGGATGAAAAAATTAGTAAAAGATCAATCATCTAATTTCGGAATAGGAATATTAAATTTAAAAATTTTAATTCAATTCATTAATGACTTAGCACTATTCGGTATTCCAGGCAGAAATCAGAAATAATAAATAAGTGCTAACAGCTAAAGTAATGTTAAGCTAAACACACTGAGTGACTAAACACTAATTGATGATAGAAACGAGATATCTTTTTATATCTATATACTAATATATTATTAAAATCGTATAACCAGAGAGATAATAAACCTGTTTGCTAACCAAGGTGGATTGATAAACCCACCTTGTTGCTAACAATAACTTGATGTGATAACTGATAAGACAACTGACTAGTCGACATTAGGATTTAGGTAACAAATTTTTCAAGTCTAAATTCTATTCATTGGAAAATAATTGTATAATATATTTATATTAATTTTTTGTTTAAAAATGTTTTTTTTTCTCCAAAATTATTATTCATAGAGGGAAATAAAGGCAGTTTTATAATAATACGATTTCAATGATTTAGTAATGATTAATGGTATCTGAAATAAAGATTTACTTATAATAACTTTAAAAAATGTATAGATATAATATAAATCTATATATATTATAAAAATGTAATAAAGATCTTTATTATAAATTTAAAAGAAGGAATCTAATGCTGGGTTATGCAAAATTATTGATTCTATAAACCCTGGTTGGTCCATTAATGATATATGGGTCCAATAAATCAATAATATAAGTGTATTATGTAATTATTTACGAACATTGGAAGTGTCCCTTACAAAAGGAGAAAATGCCTAAAAGTTTCCCGACTAATACATTTATTCCTAACCGTGACAATAATTGTGTCGTGTATATAGTAGGATTAAGGATTTATACATTTTTTTCATGTCTAAGGAAAGAAGTAATTTTTTAAAAAACTGTTTAAAACAATAAAATTAAAAAATTGTTTAAGGGTTAAATACATCTTTAGCAATTTTAAATATCTGTTAAGTATTACCTATAAACAAAATAGAAAACTTTCATTAACACTTTGAGAAATCCAGTTTCATTATCGATTTTTAGCAAGTGGTTTGTTAATTAATTGGGACATAATCTCTGCCGAACTCGCTGAAGTTAATAATGTAATTTATATAATTATAGAAACTATATAATAGATTCATTTCACATCTCTAATATAATTCAACCATAGAAAACATTCACACAAAATGTATTACGGCCATCTAGATTTTAGAGTAATATTGATTAAATAATATAGGTAGAAAGTTTTCACAGTAATTAAATAGTAGTTTAAGTGTATCTTATTAAAAGCAATTTACTAATAAAGATTAATCAGTACTCATAAATATTTAATAACTAGGCATACGTTTTTTAAAATTGGTTTTTTAGAATTACACAAATTTTAATCAGTGTTTTTAAATTTAAGAATAATTTTTATGGTGTATCTTTATAGTAGTTGTATGTACATATAAATATAATAATTAAAACATTTAAAAACAAAGGTGTCAAAGAAAGCATTATACTACTCATAAAAAAATACATAAAAAAAAAGTCACTTGGTTTAACAAATATAATTATTTTACAGTATAGTATAAAAACTAAAAAATTAGTTTAACAATTTATTGTATTATATTCTAACTTTTACTAGAACGTCTCAAACTAGAAGATGATGGTATCATCGGGTCAGTTTTATAAACAAGAGCTTCCATATAGGCTTTACGGACTGATTTACGATCGGCAGGTTTTTTTGATTCTGTCAGTTTTATGTCATCCAATTCTTGAGTAACACCAAGTGGCTCTAGTTTGTTGCGAGGTAACCATTGCCTATCAAAACAACAGTAAATGTAAAATTGTTGAACTTATCTTAGTGATCTACATTCTGAACAATAATATATTTTCACTTACCAGGTACGTTTTGCATCAAAGAACAATACTAAGTATACTAATTCTTTATAGTTGCTAGCCAAGTTTAATACTTCCAATGGTGGACTAGGGACTGGTATGCCGTTATGCAAATGTCCTGCTGGCATATTGGGATCAATTATCTAAAAACAAAAAAATAGAAATCTATGCTACAATTATTTTTTTTAAAACAAAAAATTAAAACTGTTGTATTACCAGTGCCGGATACCACGGATAACCTCTACATTTGGCCCAGACTAATTGTAATTGAGCAAAATCATCTTGTGTTCCTCTTTTCTTGGATTCTTTTTCTAACTCAGAGTCTGAAGAAGAACTGCTAGATGAACTGCCCGATCCATCAGAAGACGATCCGCTGCTACTCCCTTCACTTGTACTACTAGAGTTTGATTCGGAATCTGAATAATCTAGGTAACTAGACTCTTCATCGGATGGCGACTCATCTTCGGTATCTGTCTTTTTGCCTAAAAATCAAAATACAACAAGTATTATACAAAGATTATTTGCACTTCCTAGTATTATGTATAAAATATACTTGAACGGTATTCTTTGAAACTCTCAAGATTTGTAGATTGTCTAGTACGTCTTATTTGAGGGGGCGTAGCTGTTATATCAGTGGACGCTTTTTTTCTAGAAGAGTTTCGAGGAGTTCTATAGAAGAAATACATACATATATAAAAGTAGTTATTATTAAAATAAAAAATAATAATACTAATATTGATAATTACATGAGTGTTGTTGATTCAGACTTTGAGGGAGTATCTGGTTTTTTGAAAATAAAGCTTTCTATTGATTGTTGTACAACTGCCTTCTTATTACGTTTGGTACTTGTTTTCTCTGTTTCAGTATTTTGATGGTTTCCATCACTTGATTCTTCTAACTCGACTATAAAAAAAAAGAACAGAAAATGTATCAAATAAATGTTCAATACATGTTCAACGTCTAGTATTACCAATTTCTTTGTTTTTGGTTTCTGAATCTATTTTTACTTTTAGTTTTGTCAATTCAGTTTTGATCATGCGGGCCCGCTTAGACTGTCGTCCTCCCCGACACTTGTCAGCGAGTTGTAAAAGTTTACACATTCGATCATCATCCCCCATCGTGTTGGATGGATTACATATTTCTTTTAATTCACTATCAAATTCTATACCTTTTTCGTCTTTGATTTCCTCAGATTTTTTTGGTGTTGAGATAGATGCAGTTGTTTCACAACCTTTTTTATTGGGATCAGTCAACAATATTGAATTTGGTTCTAATTCTAAAAGTTTGAGATCTCGTTTGGCAGTTCTTAAAACCGTTCCTCCCTTTAATAAAGTTATAATATATACAATAATCCAAATAATTTGTATACACAAATATGACAGTTATAATTAATTAATAAAATGCAGTTTTTAGTAACAAGAAGTCTTACTTGATCTCTCATTTTTATTCCGGCTTTATAGAATATTGTTTCTTTAGAATTGTATGCTAAACAATTTGAAATCATCAGGTTAAAATCGCTTTCAAAATCTTCAAAAGTACTATATTCAGAATTATTTATTTTAGTTCCCATTGTTTGTAGATCCATTGGATTTTTAACTATTTCACCATAATCAGGTACCTCGTCCTGATCAACGGGTTCAATGAATATCTGACCAGTATCCTTTGCAACCAACTGTTTGAGTACTGTGTGTAAGAAAGCGTTAAAAGGCCATAATGATTTCATTGTGTATTTTTCATGACTGTAAAAATTGTTTTTAATGTTATAAACTGTAATACTACAATTACTCAGCATTCTTTGTAAACATTTACTCACACTCTGATCAATTCTTTTTTAGTGCGCTCCCTTTTACGTATAAGTTCACATAACAAGCGAACCCTTTCCAAATCTTGACGGAGAGCTTGCCAATATTTTAATTGTCGATACAATTCAACCTAAAAATGTAATTTTATTATTAATGCATTGTTTTTCATTGTATATAAATAAATTGTTCATTTATTTAAACAAAAAAAGCTGATTTTTCCTGAAAAATATATATATTTTTTTTTTATCATAATTAATAATATATACAAGGAATTAGAAACAATAACTATATTATTCTTTATCACCATTAAAACATACATTTATAGGAGTCTTATCCTTTTCAAAACCGGCTATATATCTTTTTTTTTTTTTTATGCTACTAGGCACGGGCGGATAGGCTAAATTTTTGTTTGGGAATTAGGGAAAAAAATATATATAAGGCCCAAAGCTACTTACAAGATCGTCTTCGGTGCCACTCGATACAACTGGTTCTTCTCTTCGTGATACACTTGATGATTGACTGGTTTGTAAACGTCGCAAGAGTGGTACTCCATTTCGAAATTGTCGTTTTAAAGTCCAATAAGCAATTAAACGTTGTACAAATTGACCTTTTTTAGGTACCGATAGTAAATTTGATATTTCAGTTACTCTGTGACCAAAACGTGTATTATTAGTATATAATATATATATATTGCTCTTGTTTCAAAATTAACATTACCTTTCTGGGGGTATTGTAGGAATAGAAATTACAGGGGCAGCAGAACGTTTTTTGGCTAAAACACGACGCGCATTATTTACTTTTTCACTTGGAGACTGTCGGTTACGGTTTTCTGCTAGATAATCAGATGGCGCATGCGCATCACAAAATGCTATTTTTTGCACCAAAACAGTGCCAGGTTCTGAGTCTTCTGAATAAAATAACAGAAATGATTAAATAGGTGTTAAAAAATCAAATATTTATATAGTATGTTAACCTATGTTAGACATATCGTTTGATACAGTCTCCATTTTCATGTATAAACCAGCTTGTTGGGCGCAAGTAACATGAAAAGCTGCGTAACAACTTGTTTTGTGACACTGTATACAAGCTCCCACACCACGTTGCTTACATATGTAACAAGTGAGTTTCCATCTGGCCGTAGGAATTGTTTCGATACTGTCAATCGGTTCTAAAAATACCTACAATACACACAAAACAACTGTTAATAGTATATAATATACTTTAAGTTAAGCTCGTTACTTACTGTATTTGCAAATCTGACTTCTGGTATCCATAACGCACAAACAACATGTGCCCATAGCCCGCGGTCAGTTTGCTTGAACGCCCCACAGTTGTTGGGGCATAATACACAATCGACCATGCACGAAGGAGAATGTAGACATCGTCTTGACAATAAACACAATTTGAAAAATAATTATTATTTTAGTTTTGATAGAAAGCTAAGGAGGTTTTTTTTTTACAACAATATGATTTCATATTTTTATTATGGTGTCTAAACCAACATCATTTAACTCGCTGGACTCCGTGGTACTTTTTATAAGATGTGCCACAATCACATTTTATCTCTAAGATCGAGTTTTATGTCATACCCTGTGCAACACATATTAACAAATATTTTTATGCAAATTTTGCTTACCGGCATAACCATTGACCTTCCGGTATGTATGGTACACCGTAACAATCTTGATGAACAGCTAAGTTACACATGTCGCAAAACAATATAACATTAGAATTTTGGCATTCACCATCTAAGCATATTGAACAAACGGCTTCATCGTCGATTACAGCTAAACTACTATCAACTTCTTTGTTCATTTGCTAATTAAATGACATAAGTTATAATTAACATTATCTTCAAAAATAAGAATAGAAACTAATTACTATAATACTTACAACCAAAAAGTATGATTCCTTTTCAAGGCGATCCATTAACAATTCAAAAGACTCTATTGATATCCCTGTTAAACCCGCCAATTCTCTACGTTCATTCATAATTTGAAGCCAAGCTGCATCTTCTTCATCCATATCATATTCTACTTCAGTGTCCAACTCTTCTACAGATTTCTCTATAAATCTAAAATGCAAATGAAAAATTAATACATATAGAAAAATATGTAGGTACAAATGAACACATTTTTAGAATATAATTAAAACGATAAAGGAATGATTATTACCGTATATATGAATTAGGCATAGGTGGAGCCTGAAGTATATTATAACTGTCGACTTCGTTGTAGGCAGCTTGTGGTAAATTTTGAACAGCTTCTTTGCTTTTAGACAATGCAAGAGTTATTGCTGTTGTCTATTAAATAATGAATAAAAAATATTATAATCATAATTTTGGAGCTTAGGCCAAGTAGGGTATAAATCAGTTATTATTCATTTTTCGGAAAATGAGTTTTTGGTTTTTTTAAAAAAAAAAATTGTTTATATTTAACATCTATACTCTCTACCAATCGGAGCTTAGATAAACCATCTAGATGGTTTAGGTTACTGATATTTTTCTTAGAGCCTAAACGAGTTTAGAAGGATTTGAACTTCCCCAGCACCCTACGTTGCCTCAATGACAAAAGCACACAAATATATTATTAATTAGGTAATAACTTACTCTACTAGGGGTTTTGATTTTTTTCCCTTGTTTTAAGTAATCAAGTTTTGATATAATAGGTATATGATCATCGACGTTAAATCTGACAATTTTATTGTCAGGAACTTCTAGTTCACATAGTGACTTTGATAGATGTACGGGTGTAACAGGTTCGACAACTTCAAGAGGCGCTTGTCTGGGAAGTGAAGTGAACGTTACTCGTCGTCCTTTCTTTTTTTTAGCTAAACCATTTTAAAACCAAAATTGTTTTAATATGATAAAAACAAAATATTTAAGTACCTGATGCTTTACTTTTGGCATTGTTTGCAATTGGTATAACGGCTGAATCTTGTTTATCAGGCATATCCAAATCTAAAGGTGGTATAGGACTTGAGTGTTGGATATGAGCTAAATGATACTGGAACCCAGTCATACTCGAATATACTTTATCACAGTCAGCAACTGGACACTCATACGGTGGTGGTTTCATGCTGCGCAGCTTACGGCAATAACTGAGTACATCAAAATCTCCCATTTTTAGTTTTCAATAAGCTACAAAAAAATGACCCATAGTAGGTAAATAGTATTAAAAGTTAGCTTTACAAATTTCAAAGCCAATTTATTTGTTTACTGTTTACTACAAGTGAATATAAGTTTCCTAAAATGTTTTCATTTTAGGCTTAATAAAAAGTAATTATCAGACTATACTTTAGAAAAAAATTATTACTAAAGTCAACATACCGGTGTTTCAATGGAGTAATAAATATTTGAAAACTTTAAAAATCTAAAGATTCATGCCGCGAATCGCCAAAGCCGTGTACACAAAATTACGAATGAGTAATAATAAACAATTGATATTCGTTATCATTTTATCAATAGGAGGATATTGTCAAGCGACAAATTGGCGGCAAAATATAGCTGACTAATGGCTGTTGGCCAATCTACCTAAGTCTAAACGATTAACAATAAAATATTATAAAATTAATATATTAAGTATATTAGATAAATATATCAGGAATTCAAAGATTTAACGCCGTTTCGGAGTATTATTATTAAAAAAAAATTTGTTTTGTCTCGTTTATGACCACTACAGACAAAATGGGATGATTTATAACTGATCAATTAAATGCGCGGGTTATTACATCCCTCTATCAATTACAATTATTACTCTGACAATTTAGTTAGATTGATTCACTCTATGTTAAATTAGGTACAAGTCTTTACTGGCCAAAATTCAGTGTGCGTTTTTAACGGCTGAAATCAATTCGTTTCTATGTAAACTTCCGCTTATTTGTTTAATAAAAAGTAAAGAGTAATAAATATACAGTATTTTAAAAGTCAATACCTATATTATAATATTTTCAGCGAACAATCGAAGCGATCTGCAATTTACATTAAAACAATTACCTTTTTGAATGGTTTAAACATTACTGTTATAGTGTTTGGACATACCTTCAAGCTATTCTAAAAAGATCTTGAGCGATCCATCGAAGGCGACCAAAAACTTGAAGGGGCTTCACCTGGAGGCCTAATGGTAGGTAACATTCAGCTATTATGTAACATAATACAACAATATGTTATTAAAATAAAATGCTAAAATAATACATTTGAGATGATATAGATGATCGAAACTTATAATAACTGTGTTCTCAAAAAGAAACGTTTTAAAAGAGCACTTGGAATTTAATTTAAAAAAATAAGTTCGTAAATTAGTTTTAGCATTTAAGAGCCTAACAGGACGAGTTCATTTTTGGGCTCCCATTTAATACGAAAACCCAGTATGTTTTATAGAAATTTCTTAACTAATTAAATATTTTTTTTTTAGATTTACGCATCTCATCTCATCTAATGATAGCATCTCAAAGCCTTCGTGACCTGTTAAGCTCACATGATCATAATGATGAGATTTACGCATATGAAGAAATGCAATTACATTTAATTTACACGTGGCGGTTGATCGTGAATTTCCAAATAAGTATAAATAATACGTTGTAACCGGTAAGCAATATATGTAGAAATTTATTTTAAATAATAATAATAATTCAATTTTATACAGTTATAAGGGTCTGGAATTAACAATACAGTCGAAATAATTGTATTTGCGTTTCTCTATTCTTCTTGCAAATTGGATATCAAATAAAATCAAAATAACCATTTTTTATGTGACTAGGCTGTTAATTCTAGACCCTCTATAGTGCTTGATTTGGTATAGTGTATTCCCCAAACAAATTTATTTAAAGAGAGCGTCGTTATTTGAAATATTTTATTAACTCGTCAATCGATACATTTCTGAATAATTTACTCTGGTTTCACGTTGAATGAAAAATAAAGGTACCTATGCTAAAATATCTGAACAATACTCGGGGTTACGAGTTAGCTCCTCGCCAATTCAAGTACTGCGTGGATTAGGTCTATGTACGATGATGACATTTTGATCTTAGTATTCTCCTTATAAACTATTGTGGGCAACCGCAAAACTATCATTAATTTTTTTGAGTAAATTTACACATTTAGCACTATAATCATTACCTCGAGTTTTCTTCTTTGTAAAAATTAATTAACTACTTTAAAATTCGTGTTCAATTAATCAAATAACACCACATTGTACATAATTACACCAACATGATTTTTATGTAAGTATAATTATCAATATATATCCCGAGATCCTGTTGGAAATCTCCATGATACCCTCTTTTACGCATATGTCCTCCATAGTCTGTTGCGTGGCCGCTCAAACTGTCGATATCCGGATGTCTTATTCTGTAGTATTAAGTTAATATTAAGTATGCCCGGATCGACATCGATGTATAAGTCCACCATAGTCTGTTACGTGGCCGCTCAAACTGTCGATATCCGGATGTCTTATTCTGTAGTATTAAGTTAATATTAAGTATGCCCGGATCGACTTCGATGCATAAGTCCACCATAGTCTGTTACGTGGCCGCTCAAACTGTCGATACCCGGATGTCTTATTCTGTAGTATTAAGTTAATATTAAGTATGCCCGGATCGACTTCGATGCATAAGTCCACCATAGACTTATATGGCCGCCCAAGCCGTTAAATCGGATTCAATCTCTCCTGTGATCCTGCAGGATATCCTTCTTGATAACCCCATTGTCTTTATCTTCATTACCCTTAATATCTTTAAAAACATTGAGTAGGGCACGCTACACACACAATATTTTTTTATTTTTTTTATTTTACATCAGAAATATACAATCTGTACAATGAGCACAATAAGCATATATGATAAAAGTAGAGATAACACACACAATATCAATTAAATACTGACTAGTTCACTTCACTGAGACGCCCCTACCACACATTGCTAGTAGTTTTCATTAAACACAATTTGAAACATCATCGTAGACGGAGATACCACGTTAAAAAAACGAACCATATATTCTACCTCATGGGTGGTTTGGAAACGAGTATACCGACACACATAGTAATATTACAATAGCAAAAATAAATTAAATATGTAATCAGAGTTTGTTTTAGACGCTCTAGTCGCCAGTTACCGGCATTGGGAAATCAAAAGATTTGTTATTAATGAAAAATTGGTAGGTAGTCCATAGTCACTAGTCAAGTATCTTTTAATAATGGTCAAATGAACATAGTATATTGTATTACATTCAAAACTGTTGGAAAGCTCTAAACGAGTAAGTACTAGTCGACGCGAGGGTGTGAATTGCACTTGTACTTCCTTACAACTTACAAGTGCAATATTTCAAAGTAGTAGAATCAGTTCTAAAACCTGATAAAAGAACACTTGCTATGTGAGTACAAAAATTATATTATACGGACATTGTTTCATTACATTATAAAAACCTATTTCACCAAATACGAAAATGATAATGCCAGACCACCGAATCCCCTTTAATGGTTTTCCAAAACAAGGGCTAGTGTTAGCATAAATACTTCTGCAGAGCAGCGCCTTGGAGACTGCGCAACGGATGCTCTCATTGCGTCACGTTTTCTGGTCCCGTAACAGTCCTAGGTCACTCAGTACATTTTCTATTTAATGTATTACCAGTTGTCCCGAAGTTCCATGCCCAATTTTCGATTATTTTGGTGTCTGGAACTGGAACTCGCCGACGTAGCGCAAATCGTATGCGAAAGGCCGCTGTGTTTTACTTACTAAAAACGACACGTGTTAACAAAAACAAAGCCGTGGTCCATACTGTGTACACTATGGTACACACTGTAGCCCCTTCTCACCTAAAGCAACACGCCACCAAAATCAAGGAGACCTTTCTGCCGGACCCTGTATTTATTAATTACTAAACATAATTCATCTATTAAAATAATATTAATAGTTAAGTATTAAAATCCATGTATTTATTTAGTTAAAAGGATTGAAAGTGGTTTTTTTTTTATGGTTAAAACGAAAAAGCCTGACAAAATTTTGGCTTCTTAGGATGGTCAAATTTTAATACTTTGGTTATGCCAAAAACAAATTTTTTTGCTTTTTTTATATAAAATATTATGTAAAAGTTTTTTAATATTGAACAATTTTCAAAATGAACTTATTTAAATACAAAAAAAAATTATTTTTTTTATTGAAAATCGGTTTCCTGTATAACCTAGTGAAAATTAAAATAGGTCAAGGAATTTGAATTTCTTTAGAAAATTGTAATCAGATCATTCTAAGTAGGCGTATTTTTGTCAGACATTTAGGTCTGAAATAAACTAAAATGGCTTTTACTTTAAGAAAAAATTATATAAATTAAAAATACCTTGAAGCTTAAACAAATTAACTATTATTATAACTATTAGTTATAATAATTCCTGTAGACCTGTGACCTCCTTGTTCTCACTATGTCCCGACCCTACTGTACTGTTTTTTTTCTTAATAGAGTACTTTTATACACCAATTTAAAAAAATGTGTAGATTCATTAAACTTAAAACCAGGTGATTAAAAATCATCCCTAAACGTTTAAATATTTTAAATGATATATTAGATACTAATGAGTAATGTACAGTCGGTAATCCACCTTATAGTAAAATAACAAAACGTTTACAGAATTATCTAATATATATTTACATATACATATATATTTAGCTAATCGAATATTAATGATCATATGTCATTATTTTTTTAAATTTCATAAACCATAGGCAAAACACATATACAGATTATTAATATTATACACATCAATAGTGGAGCTCAAAAATACATATAGAAAGGCAGAAATTGTTTTGTACAAATTGAAAATAGCACTACAAATACTAATAAGTTACAATTTAATAATCGTTTAATGGTAAATAATCACTCTGTTTTCCAAAGTTTGTTAAGTATTTGCATATAACAACTAAATTGCTTAAGCTATTTTGTTTAGATTGTCGATAAAACTACGGGTATAAATAATTTAAATGGCTTGTTTCTTTTATTTGTACTTGTTCTCTAATTTATTTTTACAACACTATAAATAATACATACTTATTAATTAGGCTATAATCATTAATCACTAACAAAGACACCCCCACGAGACTGATGGTTTTTATAATACTTTTGGGTACAGTATAAATAATATTGTTGAATTCAATAAATATAAAATTAGAATGATGTATATATATATATATTATATTTACATCATTCTAATTTAATTATTATAATATATACACATAGATACGTTACGTGCATCTTATTAAAGTAAAATAAAATAATTAAATTTAATAGTTTTATAAAAACATATTTAAAATCCTTAAGACTCTTGTGGGGTGTCTTTTTTTTGTCATGCAAGTTGTGTGAGTTCATGTACAAATTATCAACGAGCGAAAAATACATAGTTTTACTAGCTTGTACACATTGTTTTGATGTTTTATTGCAGCTTATTTGTT